ATCCTCCACAAGAGGGCAGTACTTTTTGTTATCTTAGTCCCTTTCACTAAATCCCAACATTTAATTAAGGAAGATGGTGGTTTAAAGTAATTAGGAAACTTTTCCAGACCAATGTGACGCCAGTGATGTTGGCATATACTGTATTTCTATATATAACTAGAAATTAATCATTTTAAACTCATATATTCATTGATCTATGTGATTAAATTAACTGTAAATCAGCTATGAATCTTCCACGGCAGGAACACTTGAAGACCTTGATTCTTTCCTGTATATTGTCATAAAATAATTGATTAGGTAATATAGGACATTATTGTTATACCAAATTTTGTCACAGAGTTTGTCACATAGAGGATGGCATGGGAGTCAGCTCTTAGCCACACAACATTTTCACCACCATTTTATGTGGATTTCTTCAAGAACAGCATCTATAATTGCAATTTTGGTCTTTCCAAAATCTTGACAAGATCATCTCCACAGTTAAGAAATTACAAAATTGTACGATTTTGAAGGCCTTGTGTCACAATTTACTGTTTCCACAATTATTTGCCCCTTTAATTGTTCCTTTGAAACAGGCAGTGATACAGTGGCAATCGACATATCATATCCAAGACAACGAAAATGTCTTTATTTTCAGATGATAATATTGTATCTATGAAACAATTAACCCAAAACCCAATTTTAGTTTAACAAAATATGGACTTGTTGATGTCACCTCATTTTTATGTGATCTGCGGGATGTTGTCTACAGTAACCCTCAGTAAACTGTTGAACAATGCTTGTTACAATGTAGCAACCACTCAGCAATCTCTATAAAACGCGGAATTGAAAAAGAGCACTCACATAGCTTACAAGGCACAAGCAAACAGAATATATGATCAGGGATGTTAAAAGGATAAGTCTTGTCTCTATGTACTGCTCCATTTTAGGAGGAGGTAGGGTTTCTCGATCAGCACTGTAAACACATAGCTCACCACCAGCGTGAGCACCAGGTGGCCAAGAAACAGGTACATCTGAAGAGGAGGGGTGACATAAAATACATTAAGTTAAATAAAGACTGAAATGCCTCAGCATAAGGCTTGATGAAATGTGCTGTCTGATGTACTTACGAAGTTGATGTCTGTGTAGTGGATTGGGGTCTCCTGCAAGCCGATGTAGAGGATGATGAAGACAGGATGTATCAGATAACAGGCAAAACTAATGTTGGAAAGAGGAACCCAGAAATCCAATGACAAGAGGCTCTTGATAAAACCTGGAGAAACAGTGAAGAAAATGTAGCATAGATTTTTATATATCTGCTTTTATGTATAAAAATCTAGCTTTTACTCAGATGTCACTTAAGAGGAAGTGTGCAGACATACCGCACTACTATTGGATTTGTACCCATATTTGTTTACCAAATCATTCATTTAGTTTTAAAGAGGTAGGTGAGGGTTAAAAATTAGTATAAATATTGCTGAAAAAGTGAAGGTCCCCCAAATTATACAGTATATCTTTCTCATATTGCCATTGGTATTCATTGTCTGTAGTTATAATCATTGATCAACAAGAGTTTTGTAATTGAGTATTGGAGTCTGGAACATCACTGCTTTTGGTTTACCTCCGTAACCCTCCTCACAGGCCAGTATAATCCAGGTCACAGCCAGAGCCCAGAGCGGTCTGTGCAGTCCCTGGTAGAGGGCATGTGGCACAGATAGATGGGCCGGGGTCTCCCTGAGGATGTAGGCCAATCCAACCAACACAGCCATGAGTGACAGACAGCAGAACCAGCCAAGTACTGCCTGCCACTGGAGTGCCAGCAAAACACAATAAGCAAGATGGATGGCAGCTTAGCTCAGCTTATCTGAGTTTGTTTGGCTTGATAATATCACAAAAGAGCACAAGAGGTGCTCATATTTCTACTAAAAGAATAAGTTATGTGTAGTGATTGCAGACGGTTAAAAGATGTTCTCACCTTTTGCTTTAACAGCTGATCTTTCTTTGTTGTCAAGTATATACCAGTCAAGATCCCTATTAAAAATGGCCCATATCTTGTGTAGGGTTTCACATAGTAATACAAGACATAGTTCTCAGATGTCCTGCAAAATAAACACAAAAAAACAAACATATATAACACTTTCATTTTAAAGCAGCAATAATGAACTTTCATTTTGTGTTGATTTTGATGGCCACCTAATTTCAGAGGGAATCCAACCCAGTGGCAGGCATTGAGAATAACTATAGAAAAATAGCCAATCTTCTTGCTGATGGTCTTGTTTGTTTAAACATTATATAGAGGCATCAGTATTAAATTGAGAATGCTTAAATTTGAATGGCTAGTTTGCCTTTTTGCTTTTATATTTGATTTCACTGTATACAAAGTTATACAAAGTAAAAAAAAAAAAAAGATCTAAGCAACCTTACATTTCATGCAATTGGTTCCTAAGATGATTGAATTAGTGCTTGATCACCATCACAAGTCTTACAGTGTGGACGGCTGAAAGACTGGCAGCTGCAGGAGTGCAGTTATAACACCACTGGTCACTGTGGTCATCAGCAGAAGGCCTCCAGCAATGACTGCAAACACACCTCGGTTTCTGATAAACAAAAGACATCATGTAATAATAATAATAAATGTTTTTTTTTTAGGTAGAGGACTTAAATTTAAACATTCAAAAAAAAAAAAAATACTCAAATGAGAGGACATACAGTCTGTAAAAATAGACCAACAGAGGAGTGGTGGCATAACATTGGAAGTCCAGAGACAGGTACCATGTCCAAGGAATGCACTGAGGAAAAATTAACAAAAACACATTTAAGCAGTAGGTCAGTATAGAAGTATGTCAAAAAATAACTGAAGCTACTATACAGCATGTAGATCTGAATTACTGCTTAAACTTACGATCTCGTGGACTGGGAGGAGATTGCTAATCAGCAGTAAGTTAGCCCACCAGTAAGTCTTACAATCCATTAATGTATCTATGAATGGGAACCAGTAGGGTCCCCACTTGACCAGAGAGATGAGGCCAATGGTTAGACACATGATAAACAGATGCAGTGGTTGAATCCTGGAGCAAAAGACAGACAAAGCAAGCATGTACATTAGTTCACAGATATAATCAAGAGCTTTTAATATATTGAATTATAATAACTTCATTTGGTGAACTCATCAACAGTACCTTTTAATCCTCTTGAAGAGGTAGTTAGCCACCAAACTGGGGCTCAGTTTATCTTCAGCCCTATCGATGGAGCCCAGCAGAGACCTTGCACTAAGCAGACCCCTACAACACAAAAGCTACTTCAGAAACTGCTAAATTTAGCAACTTAAAACTAACCATAAAATTGTTTTTCAGGCACAAACTTTGGTAAATCTGCCATTGTTTTAAACTTTACATTGTTTCAGCCTCACCCTAGCAGTAAAAAGGTGTCCACAGCCAGAAAAACAGGGCCACTGATTGTAAGCACATACAGAGGGCTGCTTTCAACTGTTGTCTTCCAGTTCTTGTAGTTATCTGCAATAGAGACAATGCAGTGTATTAATGTGTAAGTAATATAATGATTTGCAGACTGAATGAGAAAGTGGTAGTAAGTCTTGTTGTATACCCAGGTTGTTTATTACAGGGAACTGTGCAGAGTGTCCACATATTATCCATAACAGGCTGAGAACACGGATGCCATTCAGGGAGGAGTACCCTCCTCCTGGGATTGATGAGGAGGTGCTAAAGACACCCTGGCTGGTAGTCTGTAGAGAGAACACCTGCAGGCACCGGTACACACAGCTTTGGGGGACACACAGTGGAGTGTGGCTGGTTCTGTCTATGAAAGATTATATTCAATAAAGCAAACTCTGAATATAAACACAATTTATAATAAAGTTTGACCTCTGCAGGAAAGAAAATACACTCACACAAAAACACACTGTACTTACTATTACTATTTTCCTCAGAAGTGCTGCTATTGATTTCACTACTGGAGGAGCCATTGGTCTTCAGGGTCCCATAAAGGTTGAGGCCAGTGTTTAAACAGGAAGACTCTGCTGCTGGATTGACCTCTCTGTTGCGTTGCCACCTGATTATAGCTGTATACAGGGTGGCCGCAAGAGGAATTGCTACCATTACACAACACACAAATCTGCAGGAGAAAAGGTATCGGTGTCAGGTTAAGAGTTAAGACAAATTGAAGTGTGGTGCATGTAAAGTTCTGTTTAAAGGACCAGTGTGTAGGATTTAGTGGCCTCAAGCAGTGTAGTTGCAGACAACACCCTCATCTCAATCTCCCTTTCCAAGCATGTAAGACACTGGTTCTCAAACTTTGGTACTCTGAAATAATTTTTTAATTAACTAAATTGATATAACATAAAGTTTGAGAAACATTGGTGTAGGAGAAATTATGGTGGCCTCCATGGAAGAGGACCTGCTCCCTCTGTAGATAAAAATGGCTCATTCCTTATTTTCAGATGATTATACACTAATACACTAAGAATAGATCCTCCTAATTGTCACACACTGAACCTTTAAAATTATAACCACACATGCAGATAAGACAACAAAGAGGATAAAAGAAATTCACATCCAATCATATACTGACAGGCAGGTGACATCAGATGCATCAGGGGCAATGGTGTTGGACAAACAGTGGGTCATGATCATCTCCTGAGTGGACTGATTGACCAGGATGGGAGGTAACGGAGGAATAAGGGACGTCTGACCAAACTGAAGTCTCCCTGTTAAAAAGGTGAAACTTTGTAAAACCAAACAAGTGTCACTGCAGTGAGTCCAGTGAAAACAGATTTCGAAATTACTGACCGTACAGAACTAGCATCTGCACTTCCTCTTCCACGCAGGAGTCAGGAACACAAATACCCACAAAGTACTGGACTGATCCCTACGGTAGGAAAAAAAACTCTTTTCAAAATCAAATTTTTGTCTGTCAGGATGACATTTTATATTTATAATCATATTTTGTTGTTGTTACCTGCCTAAGGAACACCTGGCAGTACTGTCCAGAGAAGGTGGGACCATGGGCAGAGCAACACTGCTGCAACAAGCCAGGCTGGTTGGTATTACCTCCTTCGACATTGCTACCCATCTTTCCAAATGCATCATACACTGACACACAACACACACATACACAAAAAGGAATTAAAAAATGATAAAGACACTGAATTCTTATAATAAAACATGTAATATGTGATATTGATGATTATGATTGCACAATAAGTATAGTATCTGCCTACTTGATTCAAGAATAACTGTTGAAAAAACAATTTTAAACTGTTTCTGTTTTCTGTGTAAGCCTAAAAGTGGGGCATGGCTGGCTATTTTAGTCTGTAACATAGTGATTTAGTGGTGATGTTGCACTATAATCAAGAGCCAGTTACTGCACATAACTTTTCCATACAATGTTAAAGATGAAATGGGTAAAGATAAAATAAATCTCAAAAACTGAAATTAGTTTTTCATATTTTTTCTTAAGAAAAATTTTAATAATACAAATAGAGTAAATAGAGCTTTGAAATACATCTTATTTTTTACTTTTCTGACGAAAAGAGAAATCTAGGACTCTTTTTATGGATCTATCCAGACTATAAATAATAATAATTAAAAAAAAATAAAAAGCTAAGCTGATTTTCTTTGTCACAAAACTAATAAACATTTTGTTTAGTTGTCTCCTCCATTTTTCATGTAGTTGACCTTAACTGAGTGAAACAGCGCCCCGCTGGGTTATAACGGCTTTTCAAAGACACCGAGTCTGTGTGGTCAAAAACGGCATTGCAGCCTTCCGGAAGGGAAGACAGGTACATATTTTGATTACCAAGTATCAAACGATCAGATACGGTCAGTTTGACGCCACTTTAATACTGTGAATGAACATGTCTGTGGTAAAGAAACTCAAACATAAAAGTTGAAGCCAGTCCTGCTCTCTCCTCACAACAAAGAGAAAAGAAAGAGAGTTATTATTTAAATTAAACAAGAGTTAGTTAGTATTTTTTGTGAGACTAGTTAGCTTGAAGCTCGTTAGAGAGGAGTTTGTAAGGACATGGATATGGACTACTTCTTCTTCATCTTCATCCTAAATATCGTGAGTCAGTCTGTCTATATCTAACTGTGTCTTTACTAGCTGTTTCTAATGGTTAAATGTCTCTCTATGGTTGCCTGTTACTACTTGTGTAGTTATTATGGAGATCATTCTATGTGCATTACCCTGTTTGCTCGCACACAGAAGCTGTAGTGTTACTGTAGTGTTGTATCTACATAGACACACTCACAGGGAGAGAGCTTTTAGGGCTGTAAATAATATGTAACGTCTCCAATTTTAGGTGAGGAAGGTTGTTCATTCATTCACATGTTGATAATGATAATAATAATAATAATAATAATAATAATAATAATTCTTTATTTGTATATTTCATTAAATGAAATAAATTTAAAAAACCCCACAAGAGCAGACCTTTTAAACAACAGTTAGAATTTAAAATACATTTTAAATGGAGAAAGAACATACAAATTACAAACAGTTTTAAAAACAGTTAAAAACAATGTAATAAAAGGAAATAGAAAATAAAAAACAGTAATACATTATTTAAATATCTCAGGCATAGTTAGTATAACTACAATACTGTATGATTTCTTTGTAGACCTACACCTCTTAGTTAAACTTTTAAATATTTGTACTGAAACTATATATACTATTAGTGTGTTGTCTGAAAGTTTACTAATTGCTATGTGGTTTGTTGCATTACACCACAGTGAAACAGTACTAAAAATCTCTGTTTAATAAATTTTTGGCTTATCAAACTTTGCTTCTGATGCACTTCATGGCTAAAAAGCCCTTATTTTCAAAGTTAATGTAAGCAGTCCATCTAAAATAACAGCTGGCCCGGGTCTGACCTCTCTAGTTTCAATGGGCCTGAACCTCCACTGCCCCATACTCATTGCAAATGCTCAAGTGACTCTTCAACTTAAGATACAGTCAGAAAAAAAACCTTTCAAAAGTCAGCAGCACTTACTGAGAACAGCATATTCCTTTGGCCTGTCCTGGTTAATTTCCCAAAGGAAAGTGTCGGTGTCCTCCGTACATCTTTGAGACACCATCAAGGCCTGCGTATTTTCCAGTGCTACACTGCAACCTGCAAACAGAAGGAATGCCACCCAACACAGGGCCATTTTTTAGGACTGACTGCATCTTTTTAGTGGAGAAGGTGTTTAAATAACATAGGAGGGGACACATCATCACCAGGAAGGTAGCGTGAAATTCGTCTTCCATGGGATGGATTAGAAAAACTGCTTTGGTAAATGTAGGTGGTCTCCCACCTGGTTTTCTATATCAGGTGTGAACAAGATTTGGTTACATGAGGATGAGAGGCTAACAAAAAAGATCCAGGCTGTGATTATGTCACTGAACAGCATCACCATAATTAGAGTGCAAGTCTAATAATGATGGCTACAGGTCAGTGTCGGGTTGTAGTCCCATCACTACCACTGGACAAGAGATGTTTTACAGTAGTAGTATCAGTCTGATTTTGTATACTTAGCTGTAAATAGCCCCCAGATGCTGTTTTTTCCTGGTCTGGTGTGATCACAAATTGTTGGTAATTTGTTCCAGATAAGAATAATTGCAAAACCTCAGCTACACATTTACAACCATTACATTCGATTTTGAGTTTGTTATTACTGGACACCATTTGACTCAAGCTAAAAAAAAAAAAGGGAAAAAAAGCACAACTCTAGCCAACCTAGTAATGGAAATAAATCAACAATGGCCACTAGAGGGTGAGCTTGTCCTGAAAAACCTGTGCCAGGATATTATCAGGCAGCAGTGAGGGACACACAATCTATACACACGGCGCATATACGTTCTGATCAATTGTAGTTTTTGTGCTAGAGAGAGGAGATAATAATTTAGTCACGCAGAAGCCTATGTCCATCTTATTAAAAGTAGTTTGATCTAATTTTTTTTCTATAGTGTGAATGAATTTTTGCACATTTTATCTCCTTACAGAGTAGCATCATATTAGAGAGGAAGGAAAGGATTAGAAGTTTTATCATTGTTGGAACTTTTTTTATTTTCCAGTTGGTCGGGTGAAACCATGCTAAAAAGTAACTGGTACTCTAACTGCATATATTCTTCTGACTCACTGACTAAATGGCTCTCTCCTAGAAATTACATTAATGTGCCAAATTATGTTGTTGTGAGGGAAGCATCATGTATGTTTATATTATGTCCACTTTGCTGTCCAGGAAGTGTTGCATTCTTCTACCACACAGAAGTAGTGGGAAGGTGGTTGAGGTCACTTTGGGGCACACAACAAGCTGTAAACACAACACTGACTTTGCATCACCTTATAAGGTTGATATTACAAAGTTCATATGGCAAACAGTGTTATTATTCTGTTTACACATAGTAAACACTGAGCAACATCACTTTAGACTTTAGATTACATTTTCTGTGCTGTTAACATTTCAAAAAGATGATGGTGATTAAGGACATTTTACAGCAAGATGCATAAGAGTTATAGTACAGGGCTGGAAACTAATTTTTCCACCACCTTCCCAAAACTCACACAGGTGTGCGCTAACATCGTTCCACAGCAGCCACACTGACAAAACTGCCTGCGGATGTGTCTGTAACACCAAAACAATGAGCTGAAAGATGCTAAAAACACTCCATAGAGCAGCTTTAAGACTAGCAAAGAAGGGATTTAGTGTGATTTGTGTTAGGTACAGGAAAAGCAAGCATGTACTTTTTTTTTTTTACTTTAATAAAGCGCCTTGAATTAAGTTACTTAGTGGATATCATAGTGATTATGCAACTTTGCAGAGGCATTCATTAAAAACATTTTCTTATTGATAAGAAGTTTAATTTAGTAGTATCAAAACAAAATGTTTAGGAGACAGAGTTGGCATTTAGGATTTGGGTAAAGTTAGGTATAATTGAGAAGTAATTATCATTTAATATCACTTATAATACTGTTACCGGGTCGTAACAACACTGCCACTGAGGTGGAACTAAAATTAATTAAAATTGCAGGACATTTAGACGGCAAACACCTGTTATCAACACCCAGCCTTCATAGTAATAATGATCCATGCCACAAACTGCACTATACAAGCACGAGTATGAATGATCACGGTAGGATTTCTGATATTACCGTAGAGAAGAGCTGATGTCTCATGTGCAGTCGACATCAGATCTTGCCCCTGGCAGGTTTCATCGTTTATTGACATAAAGAACAGCTTTGTACACAAGCATCAGAAATGTCTAAAAACAGCAGCAGAAGCAGCAAGACACATTCTAATCAACAAACAATTCACAGACTGCTTCTTACATGCAGTTTTACAGCGCGAGACACTTAAAGTCTTATTGTCGGAGTAGAAAAACTACTGTCCAAAACTGAATGATATTTTTTGGAAATGTGTGGAACAAACAAAGCAAGGGGAAACAATCTCACAACTGTCAGTTATTGTTCAGGTAATTGAACTGGTTGTCTTTTTTATGAATAATTTAGTTTCACAGCCAAGTTTACATTCATAGAGGTTTGTCTTTTTAGATGTTTTTCCCAGTGTAATTCCTTTCGATGAACATTCATTATGATTTCACTTTAAACTGAAGAAACAGGACAAAAAAAAGAAATGATAATGTTAAGATTGTACATAGTTATAAAATACAGGGTTACAGCTTTATTTTTTATTGGGCTGTAACAACAGATGAACTATGCTGTGAAGAAGACTGCTTTTAAATAAGTGCTAATGCTAATAATAAGGTAAATAAACATTTTTTTCCATGAGTTGTAATCACAAAGAGCTGCCATATACAGTATATATTAAGACAGGAATGAAAGAAGTTTGACAATCTTTTACAAAATATATTTTTAAAAACAAATTTGGCCCATATATTAGACTGTTTGTGATGTTAAGTGTTTGACATAATCATCCACAGAGCTGGGAGCTATACACATTTTAAATTCATCCATTAATCACTGTTTTGTTTTGTATGCATTTAATATGTAAATGATAATAACCTGACAATGTGGTATGGAGATGGAGATGAAAATAGGCTTTATCTTTGTCTGATTGGCTGAAATCTTGTGAAATTTAATGTAATTTCAGCTCAAAATTGCAGAGATTTTGTTTTAGGATCAGTAGTTTCAGGATGTATTATGAAAACAGAGCCAGGGTTTATTGTGGAAGCTAAGAAGAGCTCAGAGAGAAATATTAGTTATCTGTGAAATAAAAAAAAAACTAAAATACAAAGAATGTTTGATGCCAATCTCCTACTCAGCTTTTAAGTAGAAACTGAAGACCTCAACTAGGGGTAACATGTACTGGGGAAACCTGAAGCTCCCAAAAGTTTTATATATGTATATTTTGTCTTTCAGACATTCGCTGGACGTTAGCAGCATTGAACATTCAGAACACTGCTGACTGTATGAGGATTAATCCCGTTACAACAATATACTCATACATTATATAGTCCTAGTGAGAAGACAACAATGAAAACTGTTTAAAATAAAAAGCTCTTCTATAAAAAAGATCTATTTAAAGCCTATAGAAACGTGTGTACAAAAAACTATCTTGTTCCATTTAAAGACTCATGAAGTGACTTTGACATATATTACTTATTTCTGTGTGTATACGGTATACATATTGTAGTACACATGTACATTATGTACATGCAGCATAACCTCAGCCAACTTACTGTAAGTTGTGTGCGGCAATATAACAAACTGTATAAGTTTAAAACAACAGTGTTTGCTTTAGATGGAATGGTTTAAAAGTGTTTTCCTCTCACTTCTCAGTTGTGCTCAGTCTCTTTGACTTTATGAATGCCATCCCATGTGTCCTCATGTGAGTATTCAGGTTTCCCTCCGTTTCAAACATCTTCCCACACACTTTGCATTTGGTATTTGGTGTCCCGTCATTGTTCTCATCTGTAACATCCAGCTGGTTCTCTCTCTGACTCTCGTCGTCGTCCTTGCCCCGTCCATTGTATCGGGCGAGACCCTGCGGCTCCTTCAGCCGATGGACGATAAAGAGGTGTCTGGCCAGCGAGCGGTGCGAGGTGTAGCACAGGCCACACTCCTGACACTGGAAGGATGAACCATCAGACTTGTGCTGGGGAATGTGCTCATGGAAAGCTGTGATGTCCTCAGTGGTGAAGCCGCAGACGGCACACTTGTGAACTTTAAGGATGTTCACCTTGAGCCTTTTCAATGGTTGTGAGTCAGAGCCCCTGGAGTTCAAGCCTGGAGGCCCCTCATCCTCTTCTGGCTTCCTTTTGGAGCTGAGGGTCTGTAGTGGAGATTAAAATGACCAGTTAGGAATGACAGGAGAAGCATGAAGATCACTTGTAAGGTAAAAAGATACACAAGTAGCACTTCCTTATGATAAATGTATGTTCACGGTACCGTTTTCTTGTCAGGTAAAGCGTCTGTATTATCAGAGTTGACAGTCTTCCCCTCTGGGTCTTTGACTCCATGCATCAGCTGAATGTGCTGATCCAGCAGCACTCTTTTAGTGAACGGCTGACTGTGAGCTGGACAGTGCCTGTCGAAGTACATTCAAATAACAGTTACAACCCTATGCAAGCTGATTCTGTCTTCTAGTATTTGCATACATATATTTTGCTTTAATTTTTTATTTTCAGTAAAGAGTATTAGATTTCCCCTTTTAAATTGCATTGTATGTAAGCTATGTAATGGAAGTTCTGATGACAGACTTCACAAACTTGCACCTCCAAACATAATTGGGGCTGCTGCATGGATTATTGTTAATTGGCTCATTGGTACCTCCGAGCCAGTCACCTTCTCTTCAACCTCCTTCAAATGCGAGACCATCAGTCATTTTGAGCTGATGACCAAAAACAACCTATGTGTTGGTTTAAGTAGCAAAGCCTTGTTTGTTTGTTGGGAGTAAAAGAGGAATGCAGTGTTACTTTACTATAGAGCCATAAAGTCCACAAAGAGGGTGGAGGTCAGGGTAGATGGATGGGTCAACAAAACGTTGGACTTTGACTCATTACAGCGGTTGTATGCTAACTGTAACCAAGTAGTTATTACAACTCAAACTTTTCCCAACCAAACCATGTTGTTTTTGTGCCTAAACCTAACCAAACCTTAACCATGGTGGTGTAACATCAGAAAACAGTTCGTATTTGTCGTATTTTGTCGTTGAATTTAGAGGACTTGTTGTCAAAAACACAATGGATGTGTGTACTCACGGGCAGGTATAGACCTTTCGCAGTCCCTTGTGTTTGAGACGGTTGTGTCGGCAAAGACTGTGGGAGGAGCTGAAGGACTTGTCGCACTGTCGGCATGGGTGTTTCTTCAGTATCTGCAATATAAAGGGAGTACATGCTACCTTAAAATATAGGTAGTTATGGATCATGTTTCTATCACTTCCGGTAACAGAGACCTACTCAAGTGCTCTACTTAAGTACAAATTTAGGTTATTGTACTTGAGTATTAACGCTCGTGCCACATTTTTGAGGGATAAATTGTACTTTTTACTGCACTGCAATTCCTTGTCAAATGTGATGAGGATTTGCTCTTTTCCTTGTAATCATAATAATTATTGTATTTTATTGTTTAAGTGTGTCTAATAATCAAAACATACAAACATACAAAACAAGTAATGTAAAGAGGTTACTGAAGAAAATAATCAGCAGATTAATTTAAATTGAATTAATTTAAAATTTAAATAATCATTAATTGCAGTCTTTTATATGAAATAATTCAAAAATAGCTTCTCCTCAGCCAAATAAACAGTGAAATGCTGATTACACCTAAATGCACCAGTAGTAATAATCTTGTAATTTAATACACTTTAAAAGTCACAGGGTCCAGTTTTCAGCACCGTGTACTTTTGATACTTTACGTACGTTTTCCTGATTACAATCAATACATAATTTAATTTAGGACTTTAATTTGTAATTGAGTAATCAAAACTTCCTTATGAGAATGGTTTCAAACATTCACCTTGCCATGTTCGCGCCTCATGTGAGCCACATAGACCTCCCTGGAACTGAAGAGGTTATTGCAGTCTCCACACATGTATCCTGAGCCGGAAGGGTTCTTGAGGTCTGCTGAGCAGTTACTGTTTGTTTTCTTTAGCAGTGAAGGGGAAGGCTTCTTTTCTCCCTTGTCTTGACCATGGACATTTCCTCCATCTTTGTTATTATTGTTACTGAGGCTGTTGCTGTTGGCACTGTTAGAGTTAGTGGGCTTGGTGCTGAGAGGGAGGTTGATGCCTAAGTTTGGTGGACCCTCGATGGTCTTCAGGGTTCCATGGATTGCCTGGAAAAGATCCGCACATGCAGAGTGAATCATAACTGAGAAGTTATAAAGTACTGGTGTGTGAAACATTTATAGACTAAACTTAGTAGTAGTATCCATATATTTGCCTTTAAAATTTGAAATAAAGATGATAATACTGTGGCTTTTTATGCCCACCTTGATGTGATCCAACATGAGCTGTTTCTGTGCGTAGTGCATCGAGCAGTCGGGGCATTTGAAAACTGAGACTTTATGATTGATGACGTGCTGGTCGAAGTGCGTGTAGAGCAGGGACTGCAAAGTGAACACGGTATCACACATGGAACACTTATAGATCAACCTGAAAGACAGAAAAAAACTGTCTTAACAAATGACTATGTGTTTATTGTAAAATGTAAGAGACTTTTACAATTTATACACAAAGAAAAACGTACTTAGAGTCTCAGCTGTTACATAGCAAATGTTATCTGGTTATCTTGTATGTGTCACATGAAGCTATTAGAAAGTCAGTTGTAGATGCAGTTATGTTCTTGCCCCTAATGTTTGTATCTCTAAACAAACCTAATCATAGTTAAATAGATGGTTCAGTACATTTAATATTGGTTTATGTGTTTGTTGAGCTTTAAGCCTGCGGCACAACCAGAGAGAAACCCACCCAATGGTACAAGCACACCTGCTCCTGAGCACCTGTATCATCAGTACTGCTGAAGGATAGTATATAAGTCAGTGAAAGGTTGCCACGTGGAAAAAAAAAACCCAAGATAAGCCACCATGTCTAAAACACAAATCCTGCGACTGATGAAGCAGCAAGGATGATTTTTCTTTGAAAGATTAATCGGACATGGGTATTAGGTTATATTGGTGTGTGCCTGTGTGTAGATGGATGTTGTGTGTTGACAATTCTTTGAGGAAAAAGCTTATGTATTATGTGTGCACTGCATACTATTTTTATTTAAATACACATATATTAGATTTAATTTTGCATGATTTAATTTTGTGTACTTAACAATTGCCATACACTTCTGCTGAAATCTGTCTTTAACGAAATATAAAACATTACAATACAAAACATTTTGATTACACTAAAATAAAGGAAGAAAAGTTTCTGATTGTATATACAGCATGTGAAGACCTACTTGGGCTCTCCTGCTTTCATTCCTGGATGCTGTGTGTGTGCATGAGAGTGCGTTCCAGGCGCAGACTTGAAGGCCATGGGGCAGAGAGGACATTTATAGAAGACCTCACAGTGAGTACTCTGGATGTGGGATTTTACAGTTGCAACATCAGCGAAGATCACACTACAATGGATACAGCTGGAAGGAAAAGGAAAGAGAAAGAGTTTGCCAAAGTCAGATTGAAAAAAGGTTTGAATTGAGTGAAAGTCAATTTAACTTATTCCGTAGACAGAAGCGCTTCTGTGTTCTAACTTAAGTTTGTCTTTTTTAATTTGCTTGATTGGTGAGTCTAGCATGCTGGTCAGCACAGGACTCATGGGATCAAAAGTTTAAGAGACTTTTCTGAAATATATATATTAACTTTCTTATCGAGAGTTAGATTGGCACCATTGATGTGTATGTCCATTAAATATCAAATTACAGCCAGAACACGGTAACCATATATATTATACCACTGCAGATTTTAACTTTGGCACAAGATCTTAATTTCCTAACATTTTGCAGACCTGACTCATAATTGAAAGCATAATTAGTCAGACACTGAGTTTTCAGTTTTATTTACTTGTATCTTGGGTGACTCCACAAAAAAATGGTGGTGTCCAGTTTTTTCCCCATACATCACTTTCAATGATATGGGATTGTCAATCTGGGGCAAACAGGATGTAATAATAACTATAATTAGAAATAATATTGTCAGTGACATTTTGAAAGAAGAACAAGAGACATTTAAGTCTGAGTATAGCCACTTACAAAGGAGTTGTAAAAGGAGACTGGCAAAGAAGAACACTGCACAATGTTAATTACCATGAATTTGTTTTATATCAGATTTGACTATCCAAAAAATCAGGGTCTTAAGAAAAGAAATAGTTTGAAAAAATTAAAGTTGAATTAATTTGCTCTCAAACTTTTGGAACCATATCTCAGCACACAATAAAAATTAATGTTATGATTTTAGTTAAGGTAGACTGACCGGTAGCCAACTCTACGGGTGTAATGCAGGCAGTTCTTGGTGACATGTGACTGGAAGTGGACAGAACGACAGCTGGCACCACACTCAGGGCAGATGTAAGGAGACTTGTGCTGGTGGATTCGCTGGTGTGACAGAAAGCTGCACTGATTTGGCAGAAGCATTTGGCAGATGGTGCATGTTTTCTATAGGCATAGAAAAGAGGAGATAAAGAAATGTATCAATTGCATTTTTATCATGGCATCCAAAATTTAAAACAAAAGTTAAATTCATTCATTTAGGCTACAGATTGTAAAATCACTGTTTTTGTCATACTATTTTTAGCTTTCACCTGCTGTTAGTGAAGCACGTCTCCCAAAATAACTCCCAGTGTGTATTATCAGAACAATCAGAAGAGCCTTCAGAGCAATGGCCTTGTTTTTGATGGGCTGTTGGACAAATGGTGCCATGCCATTGTGCTGGCATGGCATGGCACCTTTGCAACTCTATAGCCCACTGTACTGTGTTTATCAATTAGAAGTCAGAACTCTTTCATATTCAGAAAATTGAACCATATTATGTCACAGTTCACACAAAACATACACACCTGTCCACTGGACTCCGGTGCCTGCTGATAGTGCATAGCTAGAGAGCTGTCATCCTGGAACATTTCGTTACACTCCAAACACTTTAGGCTGTGCCTGCAGAGCTTCGATGCATCATCTTCCAAGGGCATGGCTGCAACAAGGGGAGTACTGCATGGAGCTGAAATCACTGCAGTTTGGGACCCACCACCAACAACTCTCCCTGGGATTTGACTAGCGGTTACTTGTGCTTGGGAGGTGCAAGTGGTGCCAGTGGTATTGGGTGGGCCTGATGACGGAGATGTGGTTATCATCTGATCTGCAGGGATGGGTTTTAGGATTAGATGTGAGCACTGCATGACAACCCCTTTGTCCTTGTGGCCCCTGGCATGAGACAAGAGGCTGCATTTGTTGTAGAACACTAAACTTTTGGAACAGTGGTTGCAGGTGACCTCAATCCGCACACTACGACGTTCATAGTGCTGTGTCAGGCTCTTCTCAAGGGCAAATGAATCTCCACACTCAAGGCACTTGTAGCCACGTGAGGGTAGAGAGATACAAGCTAGGGTTGGTGGAGAGAGGTTTGGGATGTACACAGGGACAGGATTTATGCTACTTAGGACTTTATTGAAGGCGTCCACTACGGAGCTTTGAGAGCTGGCGAACACTTGAACCCTAGAGACTTTCTTTGAGGCCCGGCCAGCGAGAATTGTCTTCTGTTTCACTTGTTGATGCTGTGATTGTTTGGAGGAGGACAGGGCCTGTTGGAGATCACAGACAGCAGAGGATACTGTCTGAGGCAGAAGATTGAGGTTACTAAGATGGACTGTCTTTGGCACAAGTTTGGCATTAGCCAGACTGGAGGCAGGTACCATAACAGTCTGTTGCTGGATAGCATTAGCAGCTTTCAAGATAGCACTGCTGGCACTTTGCACTGATGCAGCAGGGATGACTGTTGCTTTGACTGTGGTGTTGTTAGCTAGTTTCAGGTTAATCACTTGGGAACCAGCTGTCTTGACGGCTGAGACTGGCAGGAAAGCTGTCGCCACAGGTTTAATTGTCATTTGCTTGGTTATTTCAATTGAAGGGCCTCCAGCGGTGGCTACTACTGTGGTTGGCAAAGAGTGCCTCGTGGGGGATTGCAAAATTGCACTAGTAGTTGCCATGATAGATTGGCTATTCTCTCCTTTCTTCAGACCCTCAGGATCAAACTCTGGTAGAACTCGAGTGACAGTACGCTTGATCTGGCCGGATGAGGTCTTTATTGTTTTGATCCGGACTTTTGGGATGACGGGAGCGGTGTCTGTGCTTGAGGCAAGGGAACCTTTGCTGCTACCCTCACTTGTGACACTAGAGGGGCTGTCTGGTTGTCTTGTTAGCAGCCTCTTTGCAAACTCTAGGGCTGACTCTTGCTCGTGTGGCTTCTCTGGAGCTCTGGCAATTTCATTGTCCTGGATGGGTTCTTTCTCTGTTGTAGGAGAATCCACAACACCCAAATCTGTAACACTAGCCTTTTTGGCACTGAGGGCTGCAATAGCTGCTATACAAGATGAAAGTTTTGCAGAGGATTTGGCTTTGACTTGACACAAACTGGACACATTAACAAGCCCTGATGGCTCTCCTGCCTCCTGACCTTCAGACTTGAGAACAGCTTCCTTGTATTCCCCCTCTGGTAAACTTGATTGAGGGGGGTTGTTAGACTTATAACCTCCCAGAGTGCCATTGTTGTTCTTATTTTGATCAGGTTTTTGGTCTCTGTTTCCTCTGGGCTTAGAAACATTGTCCTTTGAAGATTTGGGATTCTGGTCCTCTCTCATAGTAGTGGACCTCAAGAATGACTGACTTCCCTGCTTGTCTACAGGGTCATCTACCACAATTTTATCATCATCATCGAATTCTTCAGCACTAGAGATGGGGCTAAACTGATTGAAGGTAGATAATTGGTTGGTCTGTCCGTCCTCCCTGGGAGCTTTCCATCCATTCTTGCTGTAATGACTACCTGGAGTTATTGCGGGCATTAGGCCATTATGAAGTCCATTGCCAGTGCCAACAGACTGGAGTTGGGGATGGCAGTGGAAATGCCCATCCTTCTCGGATATGGTTCCACCATGCTCACTAGTATCTGTGTTTCGGATGTTCTTGACAATGACACTAACACCAATATCATTTCCTGTTGAGGGATTGTGGGCCTCATCATTTGTAGTCACCACACCACTGGGTTGCTTGAGCTGTCCGTCGTGGTCATCGTGATGGCCAGATTCAATAGCAGCTTTAGGATCCACCATGTCGGGGATGTCGAAGGCCGCCAGTAGGTCATCAAAGTCTGGCGTCTTCATATCTCCCATGGTCCTGCTGCTTTTCTGATGAGGAGATCACCTGAGGAACACAGATAAAATGGAAGAATAATGAGTAACAGATACACCACAGATATTTTATCTAATGATATGATGAGTTCTTTAACAGATACAAGTATTTTGGTTTTAGTGTTGTGCAGGAAGAAAGCTAATATCCATTGATCATAATTTCCATAATGGTCTGGTTAATATTCCATGGATAATATATTGATTTTGCAAACTTCTCTGCAGATCTTAGTATTTGTTCTACAATCGAAAATTTGGTGTAATGGATAACTACACTGACTATCATCATCCAGTCCATCATTAGCCGCAAATTATCAATATATCTTAATATAACTAGGCAATTCATATTGAGAGCAGCTCAGGTTTAAATGTGATAAATTGGTGATAGTTTGATGGCAATTCCATATAATTCCTTCAAATTTGGAAGCACACTTTTTACTGAATTTATCACGAGCTACACAATAATGACTAAGCCCACTGTTATTATGATCATGTTCGTGGGTATTTGTGGCTTTTGAGTTTTGATTATTATTAGTTATAGTGTGATGTGGGGACATGGTGACAACAATGTAAAAATCAGTATTTCTGGAGAAAATCATATATTTTGGATCAAAAAAGTATAAATAACCCTGTCTTAGCCAGTAAAGGAAATAAAATACAATTGTTCTTCAAAGGTAAAAATTTAATGGAATTTCTGGGATGATATGATGAAGGAGGGTGGATGGACATAATAAAATTTTTTTATTAATAGTCCCCCTCAAATTTGCTGTTGAATGTAACTGCTCAAGACATTTCTTCAAACAGCTGTTAAATACATTTCTTTAAGTTGAGAAAATTGCATACAGATTGCATGAGGCTATTCATAAAAAAATAATGATGGCGTTCATCCCGAAACTGTTGGATTTTGAAGAAAACAAATCTTAAGCACAAGGCACTACAACATAATGTACCTAATACTCGTATACTGTTGACACTATTGCCAAGCTTGGCCACAGAACAATAGCTCTATTATATCTTTTATATGTGTCTGTATAATTTAGGTTGTATTACAGGTAAGAGTTTCTAGATTATAGCATAGATAGATGTAAATGATCCCAGTGAAAGCTTTCACACACCCCTATTGACAATTTTATACTAATTTATAGGACTACACACAATTACTGGGAAAAGACAAGAAAGGTTATAGTAATAATAATATTTATTTATAATTAGAGTTGAAAAATCTACCACAAAAATAAAAAATCATATGGATAATAACAGCAAATATACACAGTCACTTCTGCAGTTTAATTTGTCACCACATGGTGTGCCAGTGTGCTCATACAGTACAGCCTATGAAATTCCATGTTAACCATGACTTAGTCACTGCTTTCTGGTGCTTGGTGTTTCATTTATTCATTAGCAGTGCTCTCTCCTTCTGCGTCTTAAAATCAAACAGGTCTAGCTGACATGTATGAGTATGTGCATATAAATATGTACAATTAGTCCTATTGCCTCATTTATCCTTGCATTGGGTAGCTCCATGGAAGAGTTTCAGAGAGAAACACAAAGGAACCACATGCTGGTCTACACAGGAGGTAGATGTGACATTTTGATGACATTAAATGTTTGTACTCAGCAAAACATTTTCCTCTTCAATCAATATATGGTCAGAATTGCTATAATCAAATATTTTAATAGGGAGAAAAAAAAGTAAACCAGTCTGCTAATGTAATCAGTTTTAGTTTTCTTGAAAAACTGCTGGTTGAGCAAGGCAAAGACCAGCATCACGTCCTGACTACATCAGAGAGTTTTTAAAATATATATTTTCTAATATATGACCAGCAGACTAATAGATCTGTTCCAAGTAATGAATACAATATAGAGGATTAATGTAGTAGACTGGAACTTGTCAGCTGGTTTTGTGTGCTAATAAAACAAGTAAACAATACTTTAGCTGAATGAAATATAGGTATAGGTATAAGTATATGAACAACCAATGTTCATATATCATGTTTTTGTTTGTGAATTTTACATGCAAATGTTTCATACAGTATTATTTAACAACAGAAAAACTTTACTTTCAGTGGGTTATAACTTTTCAGAAACAAACCAGTCTTTATTTTTTATGTGAGCAAATAAAATACAATGGGACTGAGATGCACTGTCTGTATGTATTATGGGTGTTGGGGACAAAAGGCACAGCCATGGAGCTGCTCTGCTTGTACGGTACATGCAGTTAAACCAGTACTGCTCTTTAATCCAAATGCATGGTAAACACATCTGCACACACACAGACCCATATCTTGTAGCCGTATCTTTGGTTTCAAAAAGCAACAATCCTCAATTCAATCCAGATGATGGGATAATTGTAATAAGGAGGTAAACATAAACAAAATGACAGAGAGAGGGAGAAATGATATAGAGGGAGAGGGCAGGCGAGAAATGCAGTGAAGGGGGAAAAAATGGCTGCTGTGCTGTGTGAGGCTGCAGCAGAGAGAGAAAGGCCTGGTGGAAAGAACAGCTAGTCACAGCCATGACAGCCAGAGCAGCCTGACGTAGAGAGTAAATGAAGGTTAAATGCAGACAAATGTGAAAAATACACAACACAGAACCCATCTCAACAACAGCAGTTTAATACACATGCATCAATACCACAATCCACACACACTGTGTAAAAGACTACAATCTCAGTAAAGTGAATGTAAAATAACAATGGTGGAAACATGCAAGTGAATCAGCCACTCCTCACCCTCTTGCCTCCGTCCCTCTCCAGCCACTAGCCAAACCTTCTTTCCTTCCTTCCTTCCATCCTGCAACAAACACAGTCACACTACTAACCCACAAAAAGCCATCCACCCCACCCTGCCTGGGGGGAAAAAAATTCCTGTTTCTTCCCAACCAGGCAAAGGCCCAGAATACAGGGTCAGATTACATCCAGGGATCTGGTGAGTGGTGGTGGTCCTGGTAAGGATCCTCCTTAGTCATTCTCTTCACAACTAGCAGCACACAGACATACAGACAGACAGATAGATCATGCTCCTGTATGTGTGTGTGTGTGTGTATGTGTGTGTGTGTGTGTCTGTGTGTGTGTGTGTGTGTGTGAGGCAGGCTCTAGGCTGCAGATTCACAGACTCCCAGCCAGCCACGTCCCCCTGCCCTCGTCCCTTCCCAGATCCCCATGCCCCCCCTTCGCCATGAGCCGCGCTGCGTAGCACGCCGACATCCAGCCAGCAGCGACCAGCAGGGTCTGTGCCATGATAGCCAGTGGCTGAGCTGTGAAGGGCTGCCATGGAGTAGCCTGGGCTATCTCTATTCCTCAGTGGAGCACAGAGACGGTATTGTTCCTGTCAGCCCTCCGCCTGCCTCAAACCGGTTTCAGCTGGTTCCGGTCACCCAACATAAAGCCCTGTGCTGCAATACGGCCTCAGAAACACACAGGCAGAAGCAGTGTGCCCACCTCCCAGGAAACACTGCAACATTTTTTCACAAAACTACATGGATATTGTCAAATAGATTTAGTGAAACAAGAGCAAACAATATTTTATGGACATAGTTAATGGAGATTCACTACTGTGGTCACTTGCAATGCCATAAAATTAGGCCACATAAATACAAACAGCAACAATGCACAGTTACATTTACACAAAAAACAAAAAGTAAAGGAGACAAATCCTACAATGTAAACAAAAATTAGGTACTTGTAACTGCAGTTGATATTCAACTTGAAAAGAAGAAGCATATTTAGATAACAATGATGGTAGTAGAAGCTCAATCCAGTACCTTGGCCTGTTTCTCAACCAGATCACCCAGTGCTTTCACCCCCTGTCACACTAGTGGTCTCTCTGAAAACTAAAAACTTTTATGCAGCCCACCACAATGCATTACATTAGTGGAATATAAAGACAAGGAATGTAAAAAAAATCTAATAAAAAAACAATTTGACATGGGCAAACACAGGTCATTCATGCACCCCCCTTCACAGATACACCCACATATGCCACCACAGAAACACACACATAAACATGCACGTTCATGCATATATAGAGGTAAATGTGGCATACCCTTGTCAGATTTTTTTCCACTCTGAGAGATATTCAGGAAAAAACAGTCTTCCTGCAGAGGCCTCAGCACCTGCCTTTACTCAGCCCCAACCATTCCAGCCCCATCCACCTCCTCCCCTCCCCCTCTTCCTACTCTCCTTCACTGGGTCAGCCCTAGATTTTAGTCCCAGTCCAGGCCTCGTTTTCTCCTGAAGCCCCCGCCACCACCACTACGGCCGTGCATGAAGGGACGGATGGAGAAAGGGGGCAGTGTTCAGCAGGCAAATCAGGCCTTTTGTCTCTGTCTGTGCAGGGGGGTGAGGGGACTCTTCACTCTGGCTCTGGAGCAGCAGCAGCAGCTGGTGCAGGGAAAGAAGAGAGAGAGGGAGACGGAGACAGAGGGAGGTGGGGGAGATAGAGAGGAAGAAAGGGAAATGAGCAGGAAAGGAGTATAATAAGGGCTTAAATATGTACACTATGTTTATATTTTAGGCTAGCAATATATGATTGAATAGAAAATAGTGTGTGATTGTGCTGATAAACTAGTGTTGATCTTGCAGGTTTGTTTTTCTTCAGGGATCAATGACATTATATATTAATAATGTATTGTATGAATAGCCGAGGCCTCTGTTTAGGCCCAACTAGCCATTTGCATGCTTTGTATGCCAAGGTCAACAAGTCTGGTGACAAATTTTCTGTTTAAGATTGAAGTGCTATAAACTTTTATGGCAACACAGCTGCCTGGTTTTGTAAATTTTCTCCTACACACTTAAAGAATTGTAACTCATACAACATCTCCAATTCAAACATGAGCACGATCATCCTTATCTGATTATTCATTTAGCCAATGTGCAGATACAGAAATAACACATTAATAACAAGGTAATCAAAAGGTAAAAAGATGACATCGCATAACAATACGTGTAATACACAAATTGTTAAACAAAACACAATCCAATCAAGTATTTCATAACCTACCTGGGAGACTGCAGAGAGAGGCTTTCAGCTGAATAAGGCTGTCTCTCTTTGGCCTACTACCAGTCCTTGATACCTCTGCCAGACCTATCAAAGGCAGCCATGAATGCTGCAGCATAAACTACTAAGCCTTCATTATGATGGACCATGCCAGATTTATTCATCAGAAAACACAAATGCATTTTATAAACTGCGGCTGGTTTTTCTGTATATATATCATAAAAGGCCCTCATGGAGCCTCCCGCCTCTCTACAGTGTGACAGATTCAGTGCAGGAGAAAGGTTGCTATGCTCCCCCACCCGAACAGAGACACAGTCACGTGACGTCACGCTGTCTCCATTCCATGTGGGCTACAGGCAGCAAAGAGGAGCTGCTGTAAGCTTACCATCTGGTTTTCCTCAATTTCCAGAATTTCCTGCTTAACCTAAACACTTTTAAGGGAAGCAGAAAATGTTATTTTAGATAGTCTGGTTTTGGTAAACAAAATTAAAAGATAATTGTACTATGATTATATAATATCATGGTTGATAGGTATCAGTATCATCTTTCAGATGTAAGATGTTTTTGCTCTATAAAAACTGCAGAATCCCAGGATTATCTCCCTAATATCCTTCTGACCTTAAAATGAAACAAAGCAACCGCTCAACACAAGTTATGACCTTTGTATGGACATGTGGTTCAACCAAAGAGGAATTTAATCTTCTTAGACTGTTTCATATGAAGTCCTTTTTTAAAGGTAAGAGGTAAACGTATCCAGTATTTTACAAGAAAAAGGCAAAAGATTAGAAAAAAGGCTTGAAGAAATAAACAAAAAGTTTGTTTTTTTAATTTCTTCTTCTTGCTACCTCACAGAGTTATCCTGAGATCCTGCAGGGGGCATCCAGACCCCCAGGTTGAAAACTGATTTTAACCTTTTTAACCCCACTGTCTCACTGGTGGGTCAAATACAAAATTTTATTTCAAATGACTGATCCAATATTTTCCAAACATACCAAGATGTCAGGTTTATTTTGGGGGGAAATGTATAAATTGATGTGCAAGTGTACTCGAATATTTGAAGCCATAAAAAGGTAGTCTTGGGTTTGAACAAGCCGCTATATATACAGTAATATACAATATATATGATGCTGTCAGACAGTGTGGAATAAGATGCTATTTCAAACCTTAAAGTAAAGCAAATTGTTTCTTTAAATCCCAGGGCTACCTTCGAGGTCTGTGATTGGACAGCTGCCAGGTGATTTAGTCAAAACTGTGACAAACAGCAAAGACCTCATAATGACAAACTGTCCATTTTAATTGACACTTTCTCGCTGAAAGGGCTTTTACTTTTCATAAAGCCAGTATTATTACTGTCATGACACCACCAGCGGAACACTTAATGTATCACATGACATTTGAAAAGAATGAATAGTATGAATAGATAGTAGAAAGGGCATTATTTTCACAGCTCTAAAAAAATAGAGAGATTTTAAGCATGAGAACACTTATTACTGACTTTTTTGTACATGAAATATATCAAAGTAGCCTGAAGAAACATGCTACATTAGAATAAATGTTTTTAGTATCAATATTGTTTCATCAAGATGATGATAAAGCATAAAGTTGACAGTATCATTTAAAAAACATTGACTGAGTTCTTCCTAAATTCACTCCACAGTGCCATCTGCTGTTTCTACTCCCAACAAATGAGCGTATGCCAGGATATAACAGTTGGAGCTATTGTACCATATCATTATGCACTCTCACTTACTTTAACTACTTTAATGAGTTATACATAGCAGGAGATACCAGCGTGTGGAGAAAAGTATATATATATATTTTTTTTATGACTATAGGTTGTTAAACCTTTCTAGTTCACTTTATGCAATCAAGACACTGTAATTACCAGCTTACACATGCAAAATGCTGAATGACGCAGGCAGTCTCACTTATTCTGACTTTCTAACTAATTGAGTTTGGTTTAATTGTCTGGTCGAAAAAACTATTTCAGCGGTCTCTCGTGCAGGGGATCAAGGGCTGGCAATCAGACATAAGTGGTTGTTACTGAGCTCATGAATGAGTGGAATAAATGATTAAAAATTCCTTGGCTTCTCAGTATGCAGAGTTTATACCTTTGTTTTGCAGCATTTGACATATTTCAAGTCTTTCTCATTTGTTTTTGTTAATTTGTTGTGCAAGATGTAATTTCACCTCAATAATATTCCCCATTATCGCCATATAAGGGTTTTTAAAGTTTTAAATAAAACATAAAATAAGACTGTATCAGTATGTTCATGAAGGGATTCAGTGTTTTATTTCAGTCGTACAGTAATCTTGGACTTTTGTGATTTCTCAAGACATTTTCTTGGTACATGATCATATGCAGGATCTTGTTCTCTCGCATAAAAATAAACCAACAAATATTTCAGATGGCACTGCACTGTGTGTCCTACCTCCATACTGCCCTCTGACCACTGGTGACTCATCCTGTTTTGTTAAGGTCACCCTTAGATGAGGATATGATATGTTACGAGCAAGAGTTTCTCTCTAATATCCTGGGATGTGTTTGTTGAGTTGTGACCTGACAATACCTTCAACCTTTTCAACACAATATGTTCCTTACTTGCTGCATGGACCCCTTATCTGTCCTCATCTATTCACTTCCTCCAGCAATCTGTCTGTCAACACTGTCATGAAAGGGATCAATCAAGTATGAGAATTTCACACAGGCTCATGCGTGGGGGCCTCACTGTGTTTGAGGACTGCTTAATTCACACTGTTGACCTTTCCAGAGGGATAAATATACTGTAATAAACTGTGTCGATAAATGATACTGTGCTGCATTGTCAAATTCTTGTAACACACAACAGGTGTTGTCTGCAGCAAAAATATTCATCATCGTAGTTTGTGGCGTCTTGACGCACATTCACTGTTGATTTTTTTAACTGACGCGTCATCTCCTCTGCTCTGAAAACAATGATCTAAAAAAACAGATTTTAACAAAACTGAATGGGAATAAGTGAGTGAGTACACCTTCTTTTTTAGTAGCACAGCAGATGTCACAATAAAAGTCTTGGTAAAGTCTTTGGTGTGTCACTTTTTGAGTTCTTAGAATAATCTGCCTTTCCTAATCTCTTTATCTGCAGATTTCCCCCCACCCTTTGAATAAAACACACGTTGGTTAAATGTATAGCCATTGGTAGAAAATAATGTTCAATAACTGTACAATTTTGAGGTACTTTTATTGTAATTTACTGATTAAATATTCTGAAGGCTGGACTTTCCAGTTACTTTGATTTAATATAATAAAAGGCCAAACTCAAAAAACAGTGGACTCTGCAGTTATCCTTGATAATATCATGAGTTGCTTTATCAGACACAGAAGACATTATACAACTGTTTTCACACAGACTGAGAGTTACTAATCATGATCGGTAAACATATCATCAACTTATGTAAAAAACAAAAGAAAAAGTTGTATAAAGCCTTTTGTGGCTCCAGAAAGAGCTGTGCAAAATCTGATAAAGTGCTTCAAGTGATGTCACTTGAGTCAGTGTTGGTTGGGACTGAAGAGTACAAGTTTGACAATGAAATCTGTAGGTGTGGGGTCAGAAAGAAGTGAGGTTATCAGACCGCTGTAGCCCGCTCCTCATCTCTGTTTGAGGCTAGTGGCTCGAGGCTACATTAGCCTAGTAGCATTACACATCTGAATGTCCGACTGAACTGTAGGCGCTTGACTGTCATTGTGGGTTATATAGGCATCACGTTTTGACAAGGAAGAAATGTGTGGCATAAAAAAGACAATATTTCTGTTTCAGCTGCAATGATTTTGAGCCTTTAATAAAAACTGTACCCTACTATGAGTCCAGCAATGTTATAGGAGTGTAATGCTAAATGGGTGGCATACTCTAGTACAATTGTTTTTATGTACTTTAGTGCATTTTGTACAATTAAATTTCATTTCAGAATGAGATATTCAACATTACTTCACTATATTAATATGACAGGTGTTTATCAGCTCCTTTTTAGATTAAGATTTAACATTGTAAAGCATTTGATCACTTTTTAAAATATAATATACTATTGATTACACTGCCCAACAGTAACATTTGCTCCACCACAACCAGCTTCAACATTAAAACCCCTCTTACATGCAAGTTCAGAAATAATAATTCACTTAATAATGAAAAATCTTTTATTGGTTAGGATTAAAGGAGTATTTTTTACTCCTGGTAGCCGACTTTTGCTGATAGTAGCATACTAACAATATTAGGATATATTACTTTGGTATTATCACTTTTTCTCAAGTCAAGGATCTGGCCATTGCCAACCTTTCCACCACTTATTTGGAGAGAGGAAGCAATTATTGAGAAGTTGCGTCCATCATCGCGAAATGACGTTGCCACCCCCTGCAGTCACCCTGCAATCTCTGGACAAACAATAGCGAGCAATAATAATTACAGCCTATGATCATTTGTCATCCTCACTTTCTCATCCTGGCTCTGGCACCGTGCTACTTTTAAAAACACCCGCTGACGCACAGATGTATCAGGAGGGGCATTTAACTTTCATCATTAGTCACTTCTAACAAAGGCATCGGGAGTGTAACTACAAGAAGTCTGCAGCTGGAGACCTTTTCCCCTCTCTGCGATATCTGTTCACAGCAATAAAAAGCGACTATGGTGGAGATTTTCTAAGTTAGATCAAGCTGATTAACTGCAACTAAGGATTAATATACCACTGTTTAGATCTCACAGTTTCCTCTGATAACATGGGCGGAGTGTGCATATTTTATTCATGGACTTGCAGACCAGTGTGGCCAGTTTTTATTATTCTGGCTACAATACCTTGTATGTTGTACTGCTCGGAGAGTCCTGCGGCAGTTGTTGGCAAAATGTATCCACGCGGCAACCACTGGGCAGTAGGTAAGAGAAACTTCACATTTTCAATATGATAAGCAAAAGTAATATTGAATTGTATTATTATTATTTAATATTAGTTTGGTTGATTTATTTGGTAAATATGCACCATATTTGGTGGTTATATTTAGAGAAAATTATATAGCCTAATATCTCTTAGGATCAGCCAATATTTTAAGCACATTTAGAACTCCCTTAGACAGTTGCTCTTAAGAACATATATTTGCTCACTTGTAAAAAATAATAATGTTTAATAATTTATAATAATTAGAATAATGCAGTGATCTGCCACATATGTGTGCCAGCAATAACTCATATGTTACCTATTCATGTACAGTAATAGACAGACAGGTTTTTCTTAGCTTCTGGTGGACAGGACAAAATTGTAAATTACAGTAAATTGAATTAAAGTACATTAAACAAACGTACCTCTCTTATAAAGCTGTTTAATGGGAGACACATACTGAATACATTGCAATAGATTGTTTTCTAACCATCCATGCTTGCAATGTGGTAAGAGTGTGGATTTTATATACAGTTTAATTACATAGGCTATTAGGCTATTATCATGGTGTTGTTTAAACATCAAACAGATCTATTCCAGACTAGTTGATGCATCCCATTGTGTCCAACTTCCCAGGTCATTTGATGGGGAAGAAGAGCATCGAGAGCCTGCCTGAACTACAGGAGACCAACAGTGACTACCTCACACCCTCAGAAACAGCTGGGGTCACAGAGCTGGACCCATATGAGCGTCTGATGGAGGCTCTGATGCAACAAAAGAACCAAAAACAGATGATGCCACAAACTGCAGACAGGCTGCTTCGGCTGCGCAGCGGCTGGAGAGAAGAGGACCGAGACAAATATCTCAGAGAGGTCAGTTTGTGGATTGTACCTTCTACTCTAACTTGTCAGTGTTACCATTTTGGAAATAAGATGTTTACATATGTTTTTTTCCCCCATTTCATCACTACATTATAGATGTCAGATCTGCTTCTTCTGGCTTTGAAACTGCAAGACAATGATTCCACCTGAACGCAAGACAAATTCTGTCATCATTATCTTCTAAACCCTGTAATCATATATCCACACTGTAAATTTTGTCTGCTGTAAGAACACGCTGGAAACCCAATAAAAGTTTATTTTATCAGTAATTTCTAATTTGCATGTCATGCAGCAGTTTGATTGCAGACTGACATGAGAAGGTTATGTTATAAAAGCTGAGAATGCTCAATAAATCTAACTTGTTGTGATAAATCTAAGTTGTGATAACTGCATTGTGAATGTCTGATCATGCTTTGCACAACACGAGTAGCCTTCTACTTTTCAAAATATGTAATGCTCCACCTATACAGTAAAGCAGTTTATGTCACCAGATGGCGCACAATATTCATTTTGACAGCATCTGTGGTTTCTGTGTTACATATTGAGTAACTTACCAGTTAACATGATCATAATTAGAGATGACAACAGATCACCGAAAGCAGTTTAAGGCCCATTAATTGAGCTCTGATGCTGCTTTTTCTCATCAGAACAAATAAACACAAACACACCCCAGTGTCTATTTAGGACAGTAGGATAGATGATGATGATGGGGACTATTATTAGCCCTCAGGGGTTGCAGACAATAGGAAATGCTAATTGAAACAATTTGGTTACACACATAGTTTTTCTTTTAAAGCCAAAGGAAAGTTTTCTCTTCTGTCCTCTTCCCTCATTTGTCACGGATGATTGGCGAACAATAGAGGTACAAGCCACTTTCACCCCATCATTATGAGTCTAATCCCAGGAGCGAATGGGATGAAGTTTACAGGAGTTAATGAGGAGGAAATAAGTGGGTTGACAAACTCATTCTGTAAAACAGAGGGAGGAAGTCTGGGAGTTTAAGCTGTCTCTGAATAACACTCTCTATTCTTGTTAATGCTGCTTTAAATCAAATTATTTTGTTAAAGTGGTTTGAAACCTGATACGATAGAGATTAAATGAATTCTGTTGATCCAAAGTTGCATTTGCAGTAAGATGTGTGGCTTTATTTGAGGCTATAAGGGGTTTTAGAGAGAATTTGAGGATTCAATCCAGTATTGAATAACCTAATTATTCTTGAAAAAGAATCACTAGCTTTGCTTTAGTGTTAAAGTTTTATTGCTCTTTCTGAAAAACGCTATTTCCCCAACCTGATAGAGGATTTCACCACTGAGAGGTGCTGTTTTCAATATTTCCCCCATTAGTGTGGGTCGATCTTTCATGTACTTCTCTGCAGCATGATTATTTGCTTTAAATATCTTTACATCAATGTGCAAATCAACCACAGGTAATGAATGTTTTTTTCCTGCTGTTTCCTTTTGTATCACAGTCATTTCTGATGCACGCACATTTTTTTGTTGTCTAACAAATCTGCATTTCTCAAATGTGACAAATTGTCTGGGAAAACTTGATCAGCCACTATTTTGTTCATGGGTTTTACATATAAAGTTTATTGTATACATAAAATATTCACATTTGTTAAATCTTTCATGATGAAGATCAAAAACCAGCAGGGGATAATGAATTTAAATGAGGAGGGCTCCATGTACAAAAGAGGAATAAATACTGATACTAATGAACTCTGTATTAGTTACATCGGCAATATAACACTGAATAAGAATGACACGGGGCTGAATGAATGTACAACCTTACAGTAAACACAGCTTGCAGAGAAAAAAAGGAGGAAGGAAAACACCAGCACATCAGTGTTCATTAGCTTCATATATTACAGGAATGTCACAGTTAGTGGCACAGATTTTCAGATAGTTGCTTATAAGGGTAACACTTTACTTATATTAAATTAAATGAGTTATACCACTTTAGAATGTAGTTGTAATGAGCTATAAGGACATTTTAAAGGGTTTGTTTGTTGACAACTTCTATTATGAAGACATATTTTATATTATTACAACTGTGTTTTATGATGTTGTCATTCATAATCTTTTGTACTTGTTGACAAATACATTCATAAACACTTATATCTACTTACACCTTCATTATACCATTTATTACATTTTTATATACTGCTTAAAGCGTTACCCTTATAAGTGATGAGGATGTCTCTGTTCCAGGATGCCAACTGAAGATTTAAATGTTTAAAACTTCCAAAATAAAAATCCCATCAGCATGAAGATGAAGTCAGTTTTTCAAAAGATGCAGCATGACGTATTCTAGGTTCTCATGTCCATGGTTTAACCTCCAGCAGCATCACCACGTCTTTCCAATAGACTGAATATGTTCCTTGGCCTTCATCCTCAGTGAGGCAATACTGGAGTTCCTTGGATCAGCTGAGCACTGGTACACTGGCGGTGGGGGGCACATGGAGCCCATGTGGGGCAAGTGAGGGCTGTGTCCCAGGGCCTGGGAGTTGAGGAAGGAGGCCGGCAAGGAAGAGGGCATGGAAGGGGGAGGAGAAGGGGTGTAAGTGCCTGGGAGGCCCTGCGAGCCTGTGATGAAGCCCGGGAGTGACTGCAGGGAGGTGGAGGTGGTGATCGGGGTGGAGAGCCAGGGGTCTAGCTGCAGACTGGAGCCCAAGGAGCTGGTGGGAGAGCGGCGGAAGGAGAGCAAGGAAGAGGAGGAGGTGTCCTGGAGCTTGATGGAACTCACCTCCAGCTTCTCCTGCCGACGCCACTTGGCCCGCCGGTTTTGGAACCACACCTGCAAAAAAAGAGGAGGATTTTAATTTTCACTTCAACTCAATGCATAAAATAAAAGGCTGTATTCTTTTTAATGTACTATATAAAACATATATGAAGTGAAGAGATTAAATTAAGCTCTTTTTTGCATAAAATTATAAAGCTAATCAATCACTAGTGACAAAACTTTTTAAAGAAATTGATTCAACTTCCAGCTTTTCAGTTTCTTTCAGTGTTGAATCTATAAGAGCCTCACCTGAAGCAAGTTAAACATTTAAAAATAGATAATGTCTAAGTCTTAACTCAGCCAGATATGAAAATAGCTTTTTTTTTCTCCAGCAGCAGTTCCTCAAACTTAAAACTTTTCTTCACTGATCTAAACAATTTAAGTTACTCTGCACATAAGGTTGTTGTGGGAATAATAGGTGCAAGGAAGAAAATAACAAATAATGTGAGAAAATTAAACTAACATGTCACAAATAGTTTCTCTAAATTTATAATGTAGCTTTTTTAATTTGATATGATAATGGTAGATGTACCCAAAATAAATTTACTGAATGTATCAGAATTTTATTTTGGAAAGATTCCCTGTTTTTCCTCTGTTACTGTGTTTATTAAATTGACTATATTACAGATGTTTTCTTGTGTTTAGGATATAATGCATATATGGCCACAGGATTGTAACCACATTTGGTTATTCAGTAACCATTAGGCCGAATATACAGGTGCACAATGAAGAAAAAAGGGCGATTCTGTTTTGGGGACCCGTACCTGCACTCGGACCTCCGGCAGGTTGACCTTCAGCGCCAGCTCCTCCCTGCTGTACACGTCCGGGTAATGGGACTTTTCGAAAGCTCTCTCCAGCTCGTGAAGCTGGAAGGTGGTGAAAGTTGTCCGGTTCCGACGGTGCTTCTTCTTGGGGTTTTCATCATCGGACAGTTTGCCGTCTCTGTCCGGTGAGTCCGGGCAGACCGACGCTTCTGCGGCGCTGCTGGCGCAACACACACCTGCGGAGAAACAACCGTGTGAGGAAAAGCCTGAAAGTTTTGGCAAAGTTTAAATATGCTTCCTAAAATCAAATTCTGACAGTTTCAATTAAGTTCCAACTCTACTTGTCCCCTCCAAAGTAGCTCATTAATGTGTTTATTTATTAATTTGTTCGTTTTGGGGGATTTATTTATAGTTGAATCTGCTGAAACGCAAAATCCCACAAAATGACACCTGATGTAGGAAAATGATTAGTATACTGGATGATTTGTAACGTTATCTAGAGGTTTAAAAACTTCAGAAACCCAAAGACTTAATATTACAGATGATACATGCCATGTTTTAAGTTAGTTTTTTTGCACTTAAACTGACTTGATACTGACATTTTGAAATAAAACTAAATCTACTTACTGTCAAAACTTTCTGAGGAATGACTTTTCTTCATTGGGGTCACAATTACATTCCGCTCAGCATCTTTGACCAGCACTTTTTCTGTCATGCTGTAGGATGCTGATGATTTGTGGAAAATGGTGTCCTCTTTAAATCCCAGTATCGCCTCTATGCTGTGGATGGTAGACGGGTTTTCCCCAGGGCTCTGGACGGAGCGAGCGGAGGGAGACAAGCGCTCATCCATCATCATCACTTGGGAAGTTGATCCAAGAAGCCACATTTGTCGGTGAAGTCCAAAAAGATGGTAAAAAAATAAAAATTACTCACACTCCAACTTGTTTTCAAATGTATCTTCACTGTTCTTTGTGTTTAAGTTAAAGTTGCAAATTTCAAACCAGAGCTGAGGGCTGTTGGAAAACTTGCGCACAAGATAGGCACCAGTAAGACCAGACTTGCTCAGTGGATAGCAGCATCTTCAGAGGGGGCTTTTAAAGTAAGTAAAGACCCCCTGCTCATGCGGCACCCCTGCTGCACGTCAGAGAGGGGACGTCCTGTTGGATTTGCCCCTGATTTAGGGGTAACTGCGCCCATGAAGGCACCAGCGCACTCCCCTCCCTAACTCCTCCCCATCTCAAGTGCATCAGTCAGTGCTGGCTCTAAACCTACTTACATAAATCTTAAAACCATCTTTCCACTCCTCCAGATGTCATGTTCATGTCAGTCTGTAGAAAAAAAAGAGGAAGATTAGGCCCACAGATTAAGGTACAACAAAATCATAATTACAAGATTTCTGGTCAGGACACGGATTGCAAGATGACAGCTTAATATTTAATCAAAGCGTCAAGATATTGTTGCCAAACCAAATAGACATTTATTTAGTTGTGTAGAAGAATTGTTTGTTTTATTGACCTAGAGGAAGAATCTGGCACCTCCTGACACATGTTGAATAAAAGAAACTTAAATACCTTTACCGGCTAATTAAACTCAGTTAAATCCTGTATTAATGAGTCATAAACCAGACTATGAGGAGTTTTTTTAACCAGTTTCCTGTAGGTGTTGAGTCAAAGAAGGTAACAAAGCCCAAACAATAACAAATTTGGGCTATAACCACTTAACAGCAAACAAAGATTGACAGCAGTGTGGTAATCCTTCTTAAGGGGATTACATTATATTACTCAAAAGAGTTAAAACCCCTAAAACTATTTAGCTTTTCCTAATTACAGAAGGTGACCTTATCCTTTGTTTGCATGCAGTGGAGGGGGGTCACAGGGAGAGAGATGCTAACTGAGAACTCTTTTAATTGGCTCCAAAAGGTTGTGAGGCATGCAAAACTTTATTTATACAGCAAAAGTTTTTTAAACGTGATCTCTTGTTTGATAAGAGCTCTGACAATGTTTTATGGTACACATGAAGAAATAGGTTCTTCAGATGTATGTTGGAAACGTTTCATTGAGATTGATTTGATTCAATTTAATTGTTAAAATGTCAATTATGTTTTGACCTGTGGAAAAAGACAAACATTCAGTTTCTTTATCGTTAGCTCAATGCTCAGCTGCCAGTTAGCCTTGAAAATCGCATTCACACAGGCGGAACAAAGCTTCTGTATCACTAGTATAATGACCTGCAGTGTTCACAATACCAATAATGTCACACTTTGATGGCAGACAGACAGTGTCTTGTAAAATGATGTCAACTCAAAATTAATTTGAAATTCTTTGTCCTTTCAGTGCAAAAAGCCTTTCCAAATCTGAGATAGATCATGGCCCTGACCATATATTATTATCATATACTGTAAAATGAAGTACAGTATTATACTGATATTTTTGGCAGCACATTATTATACTGTGTAGGAAATGTTACTGTAATTTATTTTACAGTGCTATTGTCTAACCTACAGTGTATTTATACAATAAAACACTGTTATTTAGCTGCTGATGTAAAATAAGCGAAAGGTATACTATACTATACAAAAAGCCCAACATATATTGTCTAATTTGAACAACACAGTAATAATAATATGGAAGAGTTACTGTAAAATAATACAACAATATTAACAGATCTGATCTTTAAACAAGATGAAAAGAAAGTGGTTCCCTCTTGGAGGAGCCGTTGTAACTGGCTACTGAGACTTAAAGCCAGGTTGGATAATAAATACTGAAACGGATGTGTTTCTATCCAACTAGTAAACCATCTGGGTCGTCTTTACTTTACTCAACCATAACCAACTTTAACCCAAAAATGGCTGCTGTGAAAAAGGTCTTTATACGTCACGTCATCTCCGGTCTGGTGCCAAATGGAACAGTTTTCAAGTAATCCTGTTTTGCTTCGCTCTTTAATTTGTTCCCCACTACCCCTCAGTAAACATTGTTGGACAAACAACCCAATCATTTCTGGCTGTCTGAAGATATGGTCGCAGTTTAAGATTCATTTTAAGCATAAACAAGCTCTTATCACCTCCCCTATTCTAGCAAACATCAATTTTGCCCCATCTCTCACAGACCCATCTTTCCAGTTGTGGCATAGGAGAGCGATTAAATGTGTGAAGGACCTTTTTAAGGAAGGGTACTTAATTTCTTTTGAACAGTTAAAGAAAGACTTCAGTATCCCTCAGTCAGATTTCTTTAGATACCTGCAGGTACGGGTTATGTAAAACCACTTCCTCTTTAACAAACCCTCAGAGTACATGGATAGATGATTGTTTGAACATGGATCCAGTTGACAGAGGTCTGGTGTCTGTGTTATATGATAATATCCAGAGAATTTCCATCATACCACTTAATCGTCTAGTAAGGCTATGGGAGGAAGAATTAAGAACCACCATATCAGATGTAAACTGGCAGGCAGCAATTACATGGGTACACTCCTCATCAATATGTATTCGACATGGGTTGCTGCAGTTTAAGGTTCTGCACAGATTATATCTATCTGCAAGTAAGCTAGCCAATCTCTACCCTGGTTTAGACCCGACTTGCATTAGATGCAGGCAGGACCAGGCTAGCCTCAGTCACATGTTTTGATTATGCCCGAAACTGACTCTATTTTTGGCAGGGTATATTTGATACATTTTCATATATGTGTAATAAAGTTATTAGTCCCAACCCATTAACTGCATTATTTGGGTTCGTCCCTCACGAGACACCAATAACAAGACACCAGGCTGAGGCTATAGCATATGCAGTTATGTGTGTATATTATCATTTTTTATGGGGTATTGAGTACTGCTGTGAGTTATATAATGTGAAAATCAATAAAAATATTGGAATAATAATACTTCAGTCATCAGTTCAGCCAGGATGTGCATGAAAAGGTAATGTTAATGTCTCTATTTCAATCATATATCGATTACTTTTAAACTATTTTAACCATTTACAACTGCAGAAGTAGGGTGCCCCCCGTGGTACGAGTACCCCCAGTCTGTGCTTTACCTCCAGTTTCACATTTTTATAAATTGCCTGTCTCTTAGCTCAAGTTCTGGTATTGCAAGACTTCAGTTTATCCTGTTCTCATTTAGAGAGAGAGATGGAAAGAGATAAAGAGAGAGAGGGAGAGAGATAAAGAGAGAGAGAGCGGGGGCATGGGCTGACAACCTTGGCTATGCTGATCCTATTAGATGGTAATCTCCAGACTTTATAAATCCACAGCCGTTTAAACTTAGGTTCATGTGAAACTCTAAATGTTGGGGATTCCTTCCTCCCCCCTGTTCTGCCTAATCATCCCGAACAAGTGTTTGGATAATGCCCAATTAAATTAAGACCTTTATTCTTTATTCATTGCATTAGCCCTGATTTAGGTAGATGTGATTAATTGTAGTTGCATAATTTTAAATGTTTCATGGTTGTATAACAGAATATCTGTGCGACTGACCATTGTAAAAACAACTGAGGATTTGAAATGATAAACTTAATACATTTAACAAGGTGTCTTTTCCTAAAATCAAGTCTGTGAAAAGTTTGAATTAATAATAATTGAATCTCACGGAGCTTAGTAGAGACATGAATTTGACTGACAAATATCCAGCACACACAGACATATTTCACCTTTTCAATATACATCTTTATTTGAACAATACATTTGTTTTCTCAGTTTGAAGTACCTCCATATATTTCATCAGTGTTTATGTACATTGTTTTTGTGTTTATGGAATAAATCATTCTGCATTTTCAAATGATGATTTGTGCAAATCTGCAAATGTCTCTGCAAATGTTTCAGGCTTGACCGTTTTTATTACAATGTGTAGACAGATTCAAAGTAAATCAACATGTCAAGACTTATGAAGACTGTCTGCTTTAACATCGAAAGAAAATCTAAATATCATACTTAATTCAAACACCACATACAAAAAATAATCTAGAAATACCAGTAAACCAAAAGGAAAGTTGAAACACTTGGACAGGGTTGAATTTTAACGTAAATATTATTTTTTTTTGTCTTAGTATATTGTTATTTATTTGACTTAAAATCACGCAACTCTCTCATTTCACAACAAACAGAGAAAAAAGTTTATATCACAAAGAATCATCTTTTTTTATGTATTGTGGCCTGTGATGTGATGTAAAAAGCAATAAAATCACTTTCTAAATACATGATCTAAAGAAAATGTCATGGGGTAGAGATGGGGCACCCTGGTTTTTAGTATTTAAGTATTCCCAGTTTATTGCAATGAAAAGTTAAATTAAATAAGTAAATTACCACCCATCCTCCAGTAGATGCAGACCGGTAGGGGTGGCCAGGCTTAGATTTTTGATCACAGAAAGACAAATTGCCCTTTTAGTGCTTATAGTTTTAATGAATACTTTATAGGCGGTTTACGGAGTAACTGAATCCCAAACTTATTAACACAGCTCAGTCTGCAGATTGCCAGAAAGCGTGTTTCACATGTTCTTCTCTTCTCCCTTTTTTCTTCTTCATTATTGAAACCCAGACCATCACCTCTGGCCATTCACATGACGGAGCACTTCTCCTCTGCTTTGCTCTTCAGCTCGGTGACGGTGGCCGAGGCCTTCTCCTTCAGCTGGTCCATGTCCATGTTCTGCAAGTTTTGAAACTGGCCCATGATGGAGTCCTTGCCCTCTTCCTCCGTGGCGTCCTCGTCCACCATCTTGAGCAGCTCCTCGGGTACGTCCACGTCGTCCCCGGCCATCTCGATCATGTTCTCATCTTGCTCGCTCTGCAGACGACAACATTGGGGAGAAAACACGGTCAGAACCCAAAAACAGACGTATGACAAGGATCAGAAAGTCTCTGATCACATATTAAGTATCACAACGGCCCTTATTTGGTATGCAACATCTTTAGAACACGAAAGAGGTCACAAAATGTATAATAGAGGGTTGTAAAATGTCATGGTTTGAGACATTTTTATCTTCAAATGTTCTTTGTTTTCTTTGGAGCAGTAATAGATTAGCTAAAATAATTCTCCATAATGTCATTATAACTTTGTTATATATGAAGAATACCAGACATTAAGGAGAGCATTTTATTGTTTTCCCTGACTATAAAAAAGACTGTATACTTATGGCATTAAATTATTATTTGCAGAAGTAAACAACCTGAAGGATGACTTAAAGGCTTTCTACAGCATTAACATGCTGTACTCCTTTACATAAACCTGATTTATTGACCACTTTCTGATTAATATTATTTTCCTCATTTGATTTAATTTATTTTAGGTCTAATGTAACACATTTAAAACTTTACATTGGTGTCTGAATTCAAATTATAAACAGTCAAGTTATAAACAATCAAGAAAACTAGGACACAAACAAACAGATGAAGTCCATCTTAATCCAGGTTCCAGTTGCTGCTCTCAAGGATATTCTGCTGTCTGTGTTTTCTACATTTTTGCGAAGCAGAGTCTCTTTTCACTTCACTGTCCATGCTCCTTCACCGTGTGTACATTCTCAATTTAAAGCCTTTCCAACAAACCCAGTCTACATCACTCAATATCTGGAATAGTCATGCAATAGTCTGTGACTACTTTCAACGTCAATCTGGGGGATTATCTCAGCCCTGCCTTAGCCTTTCCTCTCCGAATCCCAACGATAGTCTAAAGATAACTTCTATAGCGTTGCACGAGACTCTAATTCCATTAGACTAACAGCACCGACTTCCTGTTTCGACTCATACTATACATTTGTACTTTTTTATATTTGTGTAAATATATATTCTTCTGACCTCACGCTTGATAGCATGTATGCATGTTCTCAACCTCTTACCTGTTAAATGAAAATAATAAACAGAACATGATTCCTTTAAGTGTCTTGTTGTCGGAAATCCAGTTAAAATATATATTTCAGTTCTAATAGAGACTCGTCGTTTCATTGTCATTAGTTATTTTTCCAGCTTACAAGCAATGTAAACATCATTTATGGAAAATAATTGGATTTATATGTATAGCCTCCTGCCATTGTCCTCATCATACATATGTGTGTGGTCACAATTTAAAAGACAAACCATGAAAAGAAATGCACCCATTGTTTAAACCAGAAAGGGAATAATAGAGTGTCTATTGAGGGAGACAAACACCTCCACAAGCCAAGGTCATCACTGCATTCAGAATAAAAATAATGGTATTAGAAAAGCTGTATTAGATATTGATTTCACTCTTTTGCCATAAAAACACAAAGTTAATTTCAAGCAAGTTTTCACCTCTAGGTTAATTTATACAATTAGAAGACACTCTACTGGTGTTTTTCTTTAAATGTCTTAAATAAAATCCCAACATACCTTCTTTTCTTCCTCCATTGCACTTTTTTTTTCACGAGTCCTTTAAAATTGTTCTATTGCCTTGGTTTAGTAGACGTTGTTCTTTCTTAAAGCCAGTTCCCTAATGAGCCTGGGACACCTGCTCAGTGGCATTTGGCTTTGTAAGACTCAAGGTGCAATATGGGACACATAGGCTAACGTCTCCAGGACGCTGGTTGAACGTCTATCCCACTAATCTACTGGCATGGCTTCCACCTCCTGTTGTCCAAGCTGCAGCTGCCAAGTGCTGCTGTTAGATAAAGATAACCTCAACCATGAAGCAGCTGTCTGTTTCTCTAACTGCAGCCAGGACACTTTCAAACCCATTTAATAAGGAGCGTAAATTGTAACTACCAGTTCTTATTAAAAGACTAAAAGAAGGATTAATCTGATGAAAAGAAGGTCATAGGTGTCAAGTTTAAGCAACTGTTAACACTTTACTTTAACACTCCCTATTAAGCATTTATAAACAGTATATAAACATTTAACCCCATGGGCACCCATAAGTGGAGGCTGGTGTATAAACACTATAATAATGAATGACAATATAGGAAAACACAGTTGTAATAATATGAAATATGTCTTTATAGGGGAAGTCGCTGACAAATACTTAATATGTCCTTATATATGCTTACAACTATATTATAGCGTCTTATAATAAAATATGTATATAGTGCTAATGCTAAAAATGTGGTTAAAGTAAAGATTAGATTAAACCATTATACCTTTGTATTCCAACTGAGGAGAATTTATTCATGCATACTATATAGTATTAAATGAAATAAATATGAGTTACACTAGAACAGTAGGGATAAAAACTCTTTACCTTTGGCAGCCTGTATTTGTCTCTGAGGCACACCCTGAGTGTTGCCCTCTCTGCCTTCTTGTGTAAGAAATCTGCATCTCTCTCCATCCTGAAATAGAAATAAAAACATTATTAGCCTTTTTTGTTGATCTCCAGAACATCCCAACTTAGTTAAAGTAAAAATATTATTAATCTTAATCTCTTTTCTGGAGAATACAATGGTAGAAGCTGTAGGAAAATACTAGTACAAAGGGGATTTTTATGACCTTGTGTTTATTATGTGAGCTCTTGTTTGTCATCGGTGTATCAACGGCTCAAGAGCAGCCTAATGTTTTTTTCAACATTTGGATTGTCACATAAAAATCGTTTCTTCCCAATAGCTTAGTCTGTTTTGTTTTCACTATATCTTAATCCAGCATGGCACCCTGCATATATACAATCAGCTGAACACAGAGGCAGTGAGAGCAACACAACATCCTCCAGTTCATCTGAATATCATTTAAGCAGGAAATCATGCCTGTTGAAAGATATTTAAATGTAACCACTGAGGTGTGTTGTTTAGTAAATAAAGTTTTGTATAAGTGTATCTCAATTGGCTTTTCGTTCAAGATGGACTATTATTAATCTGTCATAACTGGTGTAAACATCCCAAAATCTATTTTAATAGTACATGGAAGTTTTATGCATGAGTTTTGCCAGCTACGCCATTTTCAATTGCAGTGTCTTGTTATACCACTTACTGAAAACTGTTATTGTAATTGATGCTATTTTACTTCTGTAAACCTATAACAGGGTAATTCAGAGCTTTGGAAAATATATAATATTACTTAGATCTGAAATCTGTAAGGCGTGCCCATAAATTTATTTTCTTAGTAATGTAATAAGATTACGTTCAGTGATTCCAGTGTTAACAGTTTACATCCTTTAGATTCATAGAATAGAAAATACACTAAAGCTGTGTTCAGTGTTACACACTAAATCAGATTTTGTTGTATGACAACACATACATCATACATCATTTTTCATCAGTGATTCTGGTATCTGTGAATCAAGTTATAAAAGCATATGTATTTAAATCCCTGGGACTGAATCAGTTTTCCGGTAGGACTCACACACTATGAGACTTTGTGTATTCCTGCAAGACAAGACTCACATACTTTCTCTCAGCCAATTAAAGATGGGATTATTAGGCCAGACTGAGTCAAGGAGATTTGCAATCAAGCCAAGATGCCACAACTTGAACTGTAGTGAAACAACAACACAGTGGATGGAGGTGTCTAACAAACACTCAACAAATTAAAATGCTTAATCTGCCCGGACAGATTATACAAATACTTTTTGAGAATTTTTATGAAGAACAAATAGTCTTTCATGTTCTTTCCTTTTCATTTCTATCAGGTGTTTGTGTGGATCAGAATTTGTTGCCATACATCTGAAAATGTTACTAGAAATCTACAATTATGGGCAATGTTGACGTTTTATGTCGTCTTTTAAATCAAGTACACATAAGAGTGGAGAGGCTGGATTAATTTTGTTATGTAATACAGGCTGACTGGATCTGCTTGGTGCTGCAAAATCTACTCTGTATCACAAAAATACAAATTCCAGATTTGTCAAAATTGAAAGAAATGTTTTAATATTAAAATATATAAAATATATATTTACACATTTTCTTCAAGATGGAATTTAGGATGGATACATCACACTGTTGCTTAGTGTAAATTGTATTACTTAAATGTCTGCTTTAGTGAGAGGAACTGGAACCTTATACAAGATAAACAGACCATAATGCATTGGTGGACAGAAACACCCTAGTGGACAAAACTAAGCTACCTGCTGCTGATATGACTGTAGATGAAGATTGAAGATATTCAATTGAAAATTAATGAAGAGGGACAATAAGATGTGTCTATATTGTAGAAAACTATCAATATGGACTCTTGGCTACCTAAAATGGTGATCTCTCTAAAATAAATATAATTTTGCAGGATTGTGATTTCTTTCCTTTGCTGCCCCACCTTAACCACTGAGGTTTTTAGTGTTTCAGTTGAAATATTCCAACATTTATTGCTCTAATGTCCATGTTTTCAAGCTGTAAATAAAACTGCCATATTACAACTGCTTACTCAACTGTGTTCAGAACCAGAAAGTCCCTTACAATATTACCCATAAATGCACTTGATGAAGAAACAGATGACAGATTATAGGAGATTATTGATCCAGGTCCAGCATGACCTATAGCCTCAGTGGCTTATTATGATGAAAATTCAGGAAAACAAAAAAAAAGAAAAGATCCACTATGGCTGTGACCTTCAGCAACAGATGCATCTCTCAGAAACACAGCTTGCTCATTGTAAACTCATGAAAATAACCGATACATGATTAAAATGTTTACATTTAGTTAGGTTTATATTAAAATATATGGTTATGTGTAGTTCAAAAGGGGGAGAACGGTGAAGGATTGTAATGCAGGAGAAAACCACTTGTCAAGGTCAGATTGTACATACTGCAGCCATACTGTTTCCAATGGGCCAGTGGCATCAATTAAAAGTGGAGAACTGTCCGTGTTTCTACTTACTTCTCCTCCACCACCTGTTTTTGGTACTCTTCATACTCCTCGCGTGTCATCCCTGCTGCTTTGGCTGGATCTGTGGGGGTGGCCTCCTCTTCTTTGTCACCTCCACCACCAAGACCAATTCCTGACAGGGGGTTCCCAATCATGCTCTTGATCAAGAAAGCCATCTTGAGTTGTGTGGCTGTTTACTCTGCGAGGATAAGAATATTTTTGTAGATGAAAATTATGCTGTTCCCCTTATTGTGCCCTCCGGTTCTCCCTCCTATAGCCGTCAAATCCAGTGGTAGCTCTCTAGCTAACCTGCTGCTTGACTATGGAGCCAAGGACACACTGACGACAAGCAACAGACACATACACACACACTTACAAACACACACACCCACACAACGTTTTGCCAGGGCCATAATCTGGATTTAATCCTCCCTGCTCCACTATGCTAAGAGGCAGATGGCCTGTTTTCTCTCTATTTTTAAATCGTGCAGACCTTTGTAGACGTTTTCCTTTATTAATTTTGACACTTTGACGCATTCTTTGGAAGAACTAGGTGCAGCACTCATGATAAAAATGGTTTTGGTGATGGGTGTCCTCAGTTTGGGACCACATATGCTGCTTCCGCCCACTGGTGCTTAATCATATTAGTAAAGTACGGGCTGGCCCGTGTGCAGCTTATACTGGTGAGACCAAGTAGAGTAGAGAGAGAGGGGAGCGGGATTAGAGTCTTGTTTATCCCCCAATGGAGCCATCGTTCATGCCGTGCTATTGTTCAGTGGGAGAATGATTGACACGAGGATGAGAGGTGGGGAGGAGACACCTCTGAGTTCATTTCACCCTATCACTACTTCACTATCTGAAAGCTTGGTGAAGGACTTATTACCCCAATATTCCTGAGCACAGACATTTTTAAAAAGGTTCACCTGCAACCAAATGTCTCTTGTAATATCTTTGGTTATGTTATATGCATGTTTAAAGCATATTGTAAAGTAAAATATATAGAAAAGCAGGAATCTATGTGATAATTATTATTATTATAGGATTGTTTGTGCCTTTATTTGATAGTTCAGTCAAGCAGATAATGTTGGGACTGTGGAGAGAGATGACGTGGAGAAAAGGGTGCTGCATGGATTTGAACCTGGATGTTATAGTTACATGTTATGCATCCAGTACTGCACTTGGCCAAAAGTGTGCAGTGGTAAGATAGATGAAAAATCCCTCCATCAGTGTGTTCAATGAACTGAAACAACCTGTAATACATGTTATAGAATATCTATCTAAGTCATGTATCTGTGTTATTCACTGAAGGAAAGATGTGAATTGCTTCAATGTCTAAATAATCGCTGATAAGCTTTCAGGTTTCCTTTAGCCAGAAACGTTATCCAGTATTTTTGATATTGCCACAACTCAGCAGCACTAGCAGTGTTTCTGAATGCTTCATGCACTGTTGGCTGGCCAGTTGGTCCACCACTTTGGTCCCTATTGGATGCCTCATGATGACTTTGATGAACCCTTGACTTTTCCTTTAGTGCCAGCATTAGTTTGACATTTGTGGTTATTAGTGAAAGGTCTCAACCACTATTGGCTGGATCATCATCAAATGACATTCCTGCTCTATTTCCCTCAGGATGAACTGTAATAGGTTTGGTTGCCAACATTTTAATGTGCTCAATACTTTGGTTTATGACTAAATACTTGTAAACCTAATGACATTCCCATCAGCCTCAGCTGCACTTTGTGTTTACTGCTAATGAGCTAGTATTAGCGTGCTACCACAATAAACTAAGTCAATGAACATTGTAAACATTACACCTGCTAAACATTAGCATGTTAGCATTTAGCTTAAAGCACCACTATAGGCCTACTTAAGTAGCATGGTTGTGGTGGTTTATACCTCACTATAAAACCGTATAATGTAAGCTGACACCGTGTTTATTAATGTATTTGTCAATAACTATAACTTTTCATTTGAAGCATTTGTGTATAAACAGTTAATAAATGCTTTATCACTGTAATTTCTTCATGTATAATTATACAGATACATTATAATGCGTTATGCAAACTGTTTATACATCCGTTATAGATGCTTCATAAGAGGGAGTTGACAAAATCATGTGGGTTATAAACTATAATCAGGTGTTTATATACTGCTTATAAATGGTACTAGCTACCATTGAGTGCCCTTAACTGTATGCAGTATGCTTTGACATTTAGCCATTTCAACTGCTCCTCTTCTGTAGCTACTAGCTGCAATAAACTCATCATGAGAGATGAACAGACTACATATTATTCAATGTAGATGCATTTTGTGTCTCACATGATAAAACACACAGACGCCACAGAGTGGTTTGTGTTTTCTGTTTATGTAAATTGTTCAGGTAGAGGATATGTCAGATTCTGACATTTTTGACTCAATCAAAACAGATAAACGGTAGCAGACATCTGCTCTGAGTTTTCATCACCAAAAGTTCAGCATTATTTTATACAAAATTGCACGTTTCAAAACACAGGGTTTTCTTTTCTGTTGTCAGTTGAGTTTCATGGAATAGGATTGTGGCAGATCTCAACTTTTGAAAACAAAATCTAAGGATTTGACCAACCAAAAATACTGTAAGGAGCATGTTACATCATGTTGAAAATCCAGAAGTCTCACAGAAGCATTCATACACAGCGATTTACTGATCAAATTAAAAATCTGCAATGAATTAAAACAAACTTCTTCAACAAAACCAATTTCTTCAAGTACAATAACTTACAATCTGAAAATAATCAAACCAAAAACAATAATCAAAATGGACATTCCCTCATTTACAGACGTTCAATTCAGAAATTAATTTAATCAAAAGAACTTCTTTGCTGCTGCTTCTTGTTGACTTCTAAAAGAGGGAAAGACACAAACCATTAGAGAGTCATGTAAATCCACATCAAAGCACATATATGGCATAAAAAATAAAAACAATGATTTCTTACTTGTACATGATGTAGCAGAAGAACAGAATTGACTGGACGACGATGAAGACTGCAAAATGAACGGTGGATAAGCAGGAAGGCATGGGAGGCATCTCAGGACACTTCACAGCCTTCTCGGCAGGATTCTGCGCGTGAAAACATACAGAAAGAGAGAGTTTAGTCAGCTGAATCCTTACCTGATTCATAAACTGATCAAAGTAAGAATCTGCACCTGAACGTTACGTTGGACCAGGTGCTCCACATCCCTTTTGACCGTGTGCAGATGTTCCTTGATGTCGTTGAAGTGCTGAATGGTCTCATACGTTCCCATTCCGACTGCATTACCCTGGTGTTGCGTTGAGCCGATCTGTTTCAGTGACTCGTGGAAGGAGTTTCTACATTGACAAAGAGAAGATACACTAAGTGACAGTTTACAGGCTGGAGAGCCAACAGTCCCTGTAGAAGCATTGTGCAATAAAACATTAATACTGCAACTGGTTCCCCAAAGGACTGAAATAAATCATCTTTAGTGCAACTGCCTTCTAATACCAAATAAATATCTCAGCAATGTAGTCAAAATGTTTACTCTTCAGAATTTGATACATGTGTTGAATGTTTCCCAACATTTAAATATGCTGTGCGGTATCATTTATTTACAGTAATACATATTGTCCAAAATTAATCTTTTAATCCCCTATTCACTAGAGGCTACATAGTCTCAAAGTTTGAAAAACAGAAAATTACCATCTGATAAAAGAGGTCATGATTGCTAAATTAATCCCTTATAAAAACATGTTCTTACAACAGATTACAAGTACAGGAGGTTAACAAACAGACCTCAGAGGAACGCTATCTGAAATCTGGGAACCAGATAAATATGGTTTAGCTTAGCATAAATACTGGAAACAGCCAGCCTGGCTCTGTCAAAAAAAAAAAAAAACTACCAGCACCTCTACAGCTCACTAATTCACACATTATGTATAATTTGTTTATTCTGCGCGTCTTGTGAGGTTGCCAGACAACCAGCAGAGACTGCGTATTTCCCAAAACGGGGGAGTTAAAAGTCACTGCCCTAACATGTCTGATAATGGGGTATAGATATCTTGTTACGTTTTATATAATAAACCTGTTGTTACTATAGAAACCTCTGTTTACCTTTTCACACTAAAACTGACGTGATGAGTCAGAAGCAGGGCCATTATTTAAGATGTGTGTAAAGTACGTTGACTCATTGAGGCTGATGGTAAATGCTCGAAGGACTGTCTTTCTTTGAGTGAGTTCATACATCATTCCCTCAAAAAGACATCAAAATATACAAGCTAAAACCATTCCCATGGCTGGTCAGGACTAGTAATAAAATGTGAAATCTGTAAATCTGTATCTTCACTTTCAGTTTAATCAGTAAAGGAAGTAAAAAATACAGTCTGAACCATTCTCAGATGAGAATAAAGACGTCAAAGCCTGGATCATATTTCTCAACAAAATGCAATTTCTTAAAGTTGATTACTTACAGGGAGAAAGCAATAAGTTTCCCTTATCATCTTAAACACATCTAAGACGATTATAAAGAAAAAAGTGACTTGACAAATGAAAGGAATTTCCAGCAGCGTGAGTAAGAACGCCCTGAGGGAGGGATTGTGACAAGAAATCAATTGGAGGTAAACCATGTTTTGCCTGTGTATGACAGATGTATTTAAAGACTCCTAATCTGATAAGGACAAAATGGTGCTAAAATGTGGCCTTTTCTTGCTCGGCCACATGGCTGAGGTCTGAAAGGATGGACAGGGATGACATATAAACAAAATCTAATTTGTTTGAAGGAGAAGGGAATAAAAAAAAAATCTCCCTTGAGAAAGTAAGTGAGCATTTATTAAACCCTACATCTAATCTTCATCTGCCACAAGTGACCCATTTATGAGCAGAAAAGCCCTCCTTGGATATTTAGAGAGTCTGAGATGAAGTCCTATCATAAACTCTGTGTTTAAAAGATGGGTCAGGATAAACTGAGAGCTTAATCTACAAAGTAACACAGATCAGTCGCTCGCATTAGCACATTAGCTACTGCAGCCTTTTGCCAGGGTCTGAACTTATTTACAGTGGCAATCAGCTTACCCCTGTGCACCTCCTTATCTTGAAATTGCCACTGATTATGTGCTTTCTTAAAATTGAATCATCACAGAAACTCTGTCTTTCCCTGCCACCTATACAATAAAATTCAATTAAACAAGTGTTTCTGTGCAATTAATGTGCAATTGAGAGTCTGGGTCCATGTAAGTTATGGGTCAACAATATAATAAAGAAAATCATGTATGCAAAGTCATTTGAGGATGAATGTCCTGTTGGATTTAGGGCATATAAACAGCTTGGTTCTTTTATGATACATGAGACTAAGAGATTAATGTTACATAAAATAAAATCTTTAATATCTTGTGATTCTGATTAATTCTTAATGCAGATGGTGTGTTAAAATTAAGACATACAATCAAACTGCAGTGAAAGGAGAAATGTGCCACCATGAATAAATAAACACAATTTATTATTGCAAAATTCTGAAGTAAATTAAAGAACTAAAGGCTTCAGATTTCTATTAAGCTTAACACATGAGTCTTGAGTTGACAAGCCAAGAATAAGTACACTAGTTGGATAATTAATTACTGAATTATTGGTGAAATCGAAAAAAACATTCATTAAAATCCCCTCACACATCTAAAAAAAAAAAAAGTGGTTGTGAAAAAGACTTTTTTTTTTTATCTGTTGCGTGCTCGCAATGACTAAGCCCACAAGCACCTTAGGCAAGCAGTACAAAAGCACAAATATGTTATTGACTAAATACAAGCTCTAAACATCCAAAAATTACATTCTGTACACCTAATCAGGCTTAATTCCTATAAGTACCAAAATCAAACAGTAATTTAAATCTTTGCCATTGAAAGCACACCATCGTAAAATCTCTTAAGCTGTATTATCTTAAAATCTGTGCTGGCTGTCATCTGAGAGTGGTAAGGAGACCATTTTTAAAACTACTGAAGAAGAAGAAGAAGATAACAGCTGGATATTAGCATACCTATCATGCTGTAATTACTGGTTAGGGCTGCACAATTAAACAAAATATTATTAAACTTGCAAGTGTAATGTCCAAATTGCAGAAGCTGACATTTTCTGATACCCTAACAAATGTCACATCATCATGATTTTAATAGTTATTTTTCAGTAAAAAATTTAAATTGTGATTCAGAAATATTACAATGTCATTCCCACTAATCGTGAATCATACCTCGCAATATCTGTCAACATAACTGCAATAGGATTTTTGTGTGATAATTGTCCTATTAAGTGGTGAGGCTTTAAGCTGGTATGTGTGTGCACATGCATGTGGCTGACTGACTGTGGAGGGAGCTGTTACTGCAGCTGGATTATCAGGCTGGCAGACACCTGTGATGTTGCAGCCACTGCATCCTGAGATTAAATATGATTTGAGGGATTTAACGCCAGGATTTCCCTTGTTTTTCTTGAGTATCACAGATCTCTCTTTATGTTTGTTGCAAAAACAACAGCTAGTTTTTAAAGAATGATCAAACAACAACAACAATGACATTATTGTTACTTACTTCAACTCATTCAGGTTTCTGAGAACCTCCTGCTGGGTGGCTATGACAGAGCCCAACTGTTGTTGACTGGAAGTGTCCAGCTGAAAGAGAAATACAACATAGCGGTCTGAAGATTAAACACTCCAGTATTGACATATGATAAAGCTGTCATAAAAAAGGGTTTATTGGTTTTCATAAGCCATCATAAAAACAGTTGAATCTAAATGAATCTAAACCTTGTAGAAGCAAAACCACCGGCTATGCTTCAAAATATGAAATGCTCACCTGTCCCGACTCAGCGTTCGTCCCCTTCTTGGCGACCTCATCGGTGATGACTGAAACGTATCGCCGCTGCTCGTCCAGGATCATAGCGAGCTGCCGGTGCAGCTGCTTGATCTCCAGGTGGATCCGGTTCTGGCCTTCAAACACCTGACGGATCTCCCGGTCATTTACCGTCTCATACAAGTCCTCAACTGCAGAGGATGTAAACACATACAAGATTAAAACCAATTGAAATAAAATCTACAAACCTTTCATGAGGTATTGCAAATGTAAAGTTTTGCTCATGTCTCTTTGAGTATATTTTTATTATTATTTACATTTTCTAAACGATTTAACTTAATTTCAGACAATATAAAACAAATTAAACAGAGTAAAATAAAAGTTTATGATTCCCCCCCCCCCCCCCCCCAATAT